ATGTTTCAATCTAAGAAGAGGAGGGATGTTAAATATCCTTAATTACTGTAGTCTGCTATTTATAACTATATTGCATGATGGGAAAAAGAAGTACTGAACTTCCGGTCAAGATATAACATGGCTTTCTAAATAAACGTAGTAACAATCAAATGTGTTTCTTATAATATCTATACCCTGGACATAACACAGAGTAAATTAATAAAAGACTTAACTAGAACTCCGCGAGTCGGATGTGTCGCCTTGTGAACGATGTAGTTTAGGAGAAATGGCCAGGACAAAAATGAAATATGAAAAATAACAAAGGGCAATAACTAAAAAAATAATAAGTGCAGAGCAGCAGTTTCTGTGCACTGCACTTCTTATCAATCAGATCTTTCATTCTATGATGTTTCAAGTCCATAGCTTTCATACTTGAGGAGAAATGACCAGGACAAAAATAAAGTAAGAAAATCAACAAAGGGCAATAACTCAAAAAATAAGAAATGCAGAGTAACAGTTCTTATGCACTGCATTTTTTCTTAATGAGATCTATCATCCTATGAAGTTTCAAGTCCTTAACTTTTATACTTTCGGAGAAATGGCCTGGACAAAAATTAAGTATGAAAATTAACAAAGGGCCATAACTCAAAAATTAAGAAATGCAGAGTACCGATTCTTGTGCACTGCACTTCTTCTTAATGAGATCTATCATCCTATGAAGTTTCAAGTCCATAGCTTTTTTAGTTGAAGAGAAATGGCCCGGACAAAATTAAAGAATGAAAATAAACAAAGGGCAATAACTCAAAAAATAAGAAATGCAGAGTACCTGTTTTTGTGCACTGCACTTCTTCTTAATGAGACCTATCATCCTATGGAGTTTCAAGTCCATGGCTTTTATACATTAGGAGAAATGGCCCAGACAAAAATAAAGTATGAAAATTAACAAAGGGCAATAACTCAAAAATTAGGAAGTGCAGAGTACCGGTTCTTGTGCACTGCACTTCTTCTTAATGAGATCTATCATCCTATGAAGTTTCAAGTCCATAGCTTTTTTAGTTGAAGAGAAATGGCCCGGACAAAATTAAAGTATGAAAATTAACAAAGGGCAATAACTCAAAAAATAAGAAATGCAAAGTACCGGTCCTTGTGCACTGCACTTCTGGTTATTGAAAGAAGCATGCATACCAAGTTTGAAGTCAATCAGACTTATAGTGACTGAGTTATGCTCCGGACAAGCTTAAGGGGACGCCGACAACGACGCCGCCGACACAGACGCCGCCGACAAAGTAACCCCTATATGTCACCTTTTCAAGGCGACACAAAAATAAACTACATTGTATATCAAACTTTAATTACTTGTAAGAGTTTTATTATTAGCTTTAACTACAAAGATATTTAAAGATTAATTTATCAGTGAACACTTCAATATATTAAAAGCGAAAAGTAATAATTTAGCGCATGATGTTGTGGGGTTCTTTGGGTTTTTTTTTTTCTCCTACAGCAAGATAAATGTTCCTGGTTACCTCTCTAAAAAAATTACTAGCAGAAGTTATTTTTATTGTACTCTATTTACATCATAACAAACAGAAATTTCAAACAAGATTGTCCCCCAAGCAAACTTTTTTCTTCTACAAAGGCGCGAAAATTCCCTGCTGTTACTTAAATATCTATTTCAATTATATAACCTTTACAAGTTAGCTTTTGAACATTGTAAACTAGCTAATATTGCATTTCATTAATTCAACACAATAAAATATGGTTTGATATTTATTAATTTGATTGTAAGATTGTGAGGATTGAGTTACCATTTCTTCCACTTTATTAACTATATGACTGTATATTATTTTTTTGAAGACAAAGTGGTATATATTTAACATGTAGCATGATTCAAAGATTTTATTTACTTTTTCTTAACTATTTTAAAATGAGTTTCCTACGGTAACATACAACCCATATTGTTTGCATAAATACCAGAGACACTATACCAGTATGTCTCTGTAAATACTTTCTGGTAATGTGTACAAATATATGAGTTTAATTCATGTAGAAAGTATTCTAGCAAAGATACTCTACTAGCGAATACAGCTTTGCAAAAATACCTGTGTGTTTTTCATCAATCATTTTCTTTCTTTCTTGACAAGAACCATAACAGTTGTTTACATGGAATTATAAACTATGTTAAGATTCATTCTCCAGCCGAGACCGACCTATTTACCCTGGCTTTTGTGTCAGATATATGAACAAATCTCATTGGCTATTACAATCAAATTCACATTTTCATTGGCTCTTGATGCTTAGAAGTAAGCATAGCCAAATGTTTTCATGTTTTCCTCCTAAACTACGCCTGCACTTGAAATTCTGAGAGGGATATTTGGATTGACATCTGGGGCTAATTATCCTCTCTCTCTCTGTAAGTTTCTTTAGTGTTTATTTTTCAACTAACTATGATTTTCAAACCATTGCATCAGTTACTTAGAATAGGCAGAATTATTTTTGCATAAAATTTATGTCTTACAATATGATACAAATTACTGATTCTTGTCATGACTTATAACTAGAGCTTTCACTAAAGGTGATTTTTACCCCCACAAACAACATGTCTTTTTGAAAAATAAGTGCTCTAACACAACCTAAAATTTATGATGTTTCGTCTGTGTACAAATAATTACCAGAAACCATTTTTCTATTTTTAGTAACAGTGACCTAGACCTTAAACCTTAGGGGGTCCAAAACACTCTAAAGGTCTCTTCATATTAAATTAGCTTGCTAAATGCCAAGTTTTATCACAATATCTCATTCCTAACTCTAGTTATCATCTGAAAACCATGATAGTTAGGCTTATTAGTTTTAGTTCAGCAGAGTTAAGGTTTTATACAATCTCAAACAATGTATAAATTCATTACACTGCATTCAACAATAAATACATGTATAATTATGTAGTTTTAGATACATATAAATACTATTACACCAGAAATCCATAGTTTCTCCTGTTATGCAAGCAGTTCTGGCAAATAATATGATTGTTTAAGCCTTTTTTCCAAATTAGTTTTTTGAACGACTTAAAAATATTTTAAACTACCGGGGTAATTATCTCTCCTGGATTTAGAACTGGCTACCTTGAAAGATCAGCTATCTGAAATATACAGTTTGTGCTACCGTTCTACTGACTACTGATTCTAAGAAATTATTCAGGATAATCATTTTTGATAATCTTACACTCAATCATTTATATTTCATTTACTGAAGATACGTTTCAAAACAGGTATAAACTCTCTTTGCACACAGCAGTGTTAATAACTGGTAATCTGACTCATTTATATGTACAATATGAATATATACCTTTTTTTATACTTTAGCCCTTTAACCTGGTGAATTTGTAAAATGGATTTGCAAGTTTTAAATTTGTAACAGCTGTCTATTCAGGTCAGTAATTGTGTGAGGGTTGGTCATGAGTAGTAAATGATTAAGTGATCTTGACCACTAAAAGCTTAATTGTTCAACCAATAAATAGATAACTGGTAAGATTTGGTGTTGAGGTTGGTCATAAGTAGAGGACCCCTATTGATTTTGAAGCCAATAAGGTCAATGACCTTGACCACTGACCACTTGTCTGAACAATAACTATAGAGCACTTTGGCCTACAGTCCTCAGGATTAAATATGGAGGTTAGTAGATGATCTTTAGGTCATTGGTTCAAAGGTCACAGTAACACTATGCAAATTCTTTTTCAATAATAATTCTAGGTTTATAAAACTTTTAGGTACAATGACCTGTATGATACCCCTATTAATTTTGAGGCCATTAGGTCACAGTGGCACATAAAATACTTGTCTTATCAAAAATGAAATTAATATTATTATGTATAAGTATGTTAATATGCCACCGAGACAGAAATTAAATGGGGGCCAGATTTAGTGTCCTATGATAACACTTCTAATTTTCTTTAAAAATGTTACTTTTTTTCCCTGTAGTTTGATAATAAATCATCTGAACTTACATATGATATTCAAAATTTGTAACTGTAAACTTACAATTTAATCATGAAGAAAAATAATATCAAAACTCTTACTATCAACTTGGCTGTTTGATATACATTTGTGATTGAAATTTTCAAATATATAGGTGATTTCATAATCGGATACCGACGGCCAAATCATTAACATTGATCAGTTATGTTATATGTTAATCAATGTGGGTATCCGACTCTGATAATATCAGCACACAAACAGTGAAGGTGCTGACCAGTTTGTTTTAAAATCAAGTGTCACTTTAGTAATATTTAAATGAAGATTTTAAAAATCTTTGATGAAATGTCTAAAAAGATTACACTTTTTAAAAACAAGAGCGATCAGTAATCACATGTGTCGCCTCATAATGGCCAATTTCATGTTGGGACAAATTTTGTGACAGACGGACAGACAGACGTGCACAACTAGCCTTGGTACTGATCAATCATGTAAAGTTTGGATAAAATTGCACCAGTAGCTTATGAGGAGTAGTCCGGACAAGCTTTTGGGTATCTGGCAACACACAGAAAAAAACACCTTTTTATCAAAGGGCCATAACTCCGCCAAAAATCATTCAACCGGAAAACCCTTGCAATATGCGCAAGGACTTGATCTACAGATCAATCCTGTAAAGTTTCATTGAAATTGCATTAGTGGTATAAGAGAACTAGTCCGGACAAACTTTAAAAATAAAAATTATTAAAGGGCCATAACTCTGACAAAAATCATTGAACCGAAAAATGCTGACAATATGCACAACTAGACTTGATACTGATTATTCCTGTAAAGTTTGGATGAAATTGCACCAGTAGTTTATGAGGGGTAGTCCGGACAAGTTTTGTGACGGACGGACAGACAGACGGACAGACAGACGGACAGACAGACGACGGAGAAGTGATCCCTATATGTCGCCACTACTCCGTAGAGGCGACCCAAAAATTGACTTATGGTACTATGATCATTAGAAACACAATAAGCAAGATTGTAATAAATGATTTTGTTTCATTTCTATAGCTCGCATAAAACCCACCGAAGGATAATGCCGACTGTGAGTAAAGGTCTATACAAATGGTTGATTGGAAGAGGAAGCACCCTTGAGGATTTTGCTGACAGGTTAAATCATTTCTGGACGTTTGGTCTCCTGCTTCTTCTAGCATGCATCATCAGCTGGAAACAGGGATACAACAAAGCTATAAACTGCTGGGCACCAGCTGAATTTGAAGAACCCATGATTAGATATACAGAAGAAACTTGCTGGAATAGTTATTTTATTGTTTATCCACGTGATGCTGAGAAAGCAGAAGAGTATATATCGGAGATGACCAACGTCTCATTCCAAAGATATTCGTTTCTGGACTTTAACCTCTTCCCACGTGTCACGACAAAGCCAATAGAAATGACCGACAGTTTAAAAGAGAAAATGTCAACAACTAGGACACTCTATCAGTGGCTACCAGTAATCCTTTGCTTTCAAGCGCTATTTTTCAAGCTGCCCAATCTTCTCATGTATATTTTTCATTGCTATTCAGGGTTAAGTTTTGACAAGATTTCTGGTTTAACAAGTGGCTACAAAAACTTGAACCTTCAAGATAGGGATATTCTTGGCAGAAAAATTGCACGTTACTTAATGAACTGGTGTGGCCAATGTGAAAACTGGTTACCATGGAGATTACTATCTCTTCTTTGGCTTTTGGTCAAGATACTTTATTGTGTCAATATTGTTACACAGATAAGTCTGGTCGATTCCCTCTTGAAAACAACAGATACCCCAATAGACAATTCTTCTTCATATGGTGACCTAATCTCTGGAAATCTACTTGAAAACAATGCTACTCTTTGGAAAGAATCACCAACCTTCCCACGTGAAGTTCTTTGTGACTTTAGAATCATACAATTTAATAACATTCACCGGTATACTGTTCAATGTAATCTTACAGCAAACTACTTCAATGAGTATGTCTATATGTTCATATGGGTGTGGCTTCTATTTGTTGCCGTGGTAACCTGCCTTAGCCTTGTTGTGTGGATGATACAAACTCTTATACCAATTTTTCGAAAGCGGTAAGTCATCATTTTTAATTTCATAAAAATTTCTCTAATATAAATTTGCTTAATGCCATAATTTTATCATTTATTTTCAAATTTTCTGAATTCCCCATAAACCAAACCATACCTATATCAGAATTAACATGATCTCTTATAGGCTCATTATGCTTTTTTTTTATTTCTTAAAAACTTTTAACTTTTGTGTCCTGTTCAAGTTTCCAAAAAGTTACTTATGGCCAACTTCAATGTACCTGCACCATCTTTTTCTTTTGGCAATAAGTACAGTTATGGTGATTTAGTATTTTGTATGGAAGTCAAAAAGACTACTTTGTATACATTTTGCTACTTTTATTAATTTTATGATAAGCATCTAACATAATCTAAAGCCATTATTTAAACATAATAAACTAATGTTTGCTCTATTTAAAAAAGAAACAAGAACGTGTTTGTTAAACACAAATGCCCCCGGCTCAGATTCTTGTCAGTAGCAATATTTCAAAAAATGTTTACCCATTCACTCAGTTATGGACAGAAAAATTGCCAAAAAATTGTAAACACAAGTTATATAGCTTGACAAAGTCATGGCATTTTGTAATTGTGAAAAATATAAGTTGCCAAGTCATTGCTCTGACTTGTGAAGTTGAAAAATATTCAACTTCATGCAAGTTATCTTCCTACCAAATATGAAATACATCTGTCTTTAAATAAAGGCTGTATGTGCAAAAGTGTAAAGATCTAATTTGGAAACTGGTGACCTTGACCAAACTGACCCCTAACTCTATCCAAAAGAAGAATACCATGTAAGTTATCTTCCTACCAAATATGAAATCCATCTGTCAATAAATAAAGGCTGTATGGGCAAAAGTGTAAAAATCTATTTTTAGCACTGGTGACCTTGACCTAACTGACCCCTTACTCCACCCAAAGGAAGAATACCATGTAAGTTATCTTCCTACCAAATATGAAATCCATCTGTCAATAAATAAAGGCTGTATGGGCAAAAGTGTAAAAATATATTTTTAGCACAAGTGACCTTGACCTAACTAACCCCTTACTCCATCCAAAGGAAGAATACCATGCAAGTTATCTTCCTACCAAATATGAAATACATTTGTCAATAAATAAAAGCTGAATGGGCAAAAGTGTAAAAATCTATTTTTAGCACAAGTGACCTTGACCCACTGATCCCTACCCCAATCAAAAGGATGAATACCATGCAAGTTATCTTCCTACCAAATATAAAATTTATCTGTCACTTAATAAAGGCTGTATGAGCAAATGTGTAAAAATCTATTTTTAGCACTGATGACCTTGACCCAACTGACCACTAACTCCATCAAAGTTTATGTTTCTATCAATTATAAATAACATCTGTCTATAGAATAAGGTCAATACACCTGTAAAAATGTAAAATCTATTTTTAACATTGGTGACCTTGACATTGGTAACATTGACCTTGACCTCCCTTGGCATGTTTGTATCAAATTAAGACATCAACTAAAAAATAAAGGCTGTATGAGCAAAAATGTTTATATTTATTTTTTAAACCAGTGACCTTGACCCTAGAGACTGCCTACTCCACAAAAAATTAGAGGACCATCAAAGGTATCCACCTACTAAATATGAAAGATATCATTAAAGAAATTAAGCAATTTGGAGAAATTCAAGATAAACCCCAACTTGCCGAAATAGGTTAACCAGACAAGGCCCTATTTTCAAAGTGTAAAAAGGGAAATAACTGGGAGATATGGATGACACAGTTATATAACTTGGCAATATCTTGTACTTTGTATTGATAAGTAAGTGTGCAAATTATAAAGCCATTAGTATAGATAGAACTTAAGATATTTCCAACTTGCCGTTTTAGGTTAACCATTATTCATTTTCTAAGTGCTGAAAAGGGCAATAACTTGGTAAATATGAAAGCCATAGTTATGTAACTTGCCCAGATCATGTACTTTGTATTGATTAGTAAGTGTGTAAACTTAGAAGCCATTGGTACAGGTAGAACTTAAGAAAAATCCAACTTGCCGTTCTAGGTTAACCTCGTACGGACAGACGGACGGACATACTCACAAAATGGTAATTATGTGACTTTTCCTTTGATCTTTTTGGCCATTTTTAGTCACACAAGGCTTAAAAAAAGACACACAAGTAAAAACGGAATGAATAGGATCAAAGAGAATTTACTGTTACCCATTGTTCTCCAAGTCACACAAGTACCTCTGGGTTCGTACGGATGGACAGACGGTTCAATAACTATATGACCGGGGGCATAAAAAATCTATTTGTTTCTGAGGCATATTAATGCAGCTTTAAAATTTTATTAAAAGTTAACAATATCTTTCACAGGTACATAGAGAAGGCAATCAAACTGGAAGACGACCCTGATATGAAGTCTGTATCATCATACAGCATGGATAAATTTTGTAACATCATTGGCGAGGATGGTGTCATGACCTTGAAACTTTTAGGAGCCAACACATCAGAGCTACTTGTAAGCAATGTCATCTACAACATGTGGAAATTGAGGGTCAATGACCTGAATAGACCAACTTCAGGACAAGTATTTTCTGTACCAGAAGTTATGGTACATCCCGAGGCAGTTGCTGTACAAGCGCAACCTGGCATGGCCCAAGTTCAATCAAGTGGTTCTCCTGCTACAAGTTCAAATGTTACAAAAGAAGGCAGACTAAAAACTTTGATGTTCACACAAGACCTATAATAGATGTGCAACATTTGTTTTAATAATAAAATAAAAAGTTTTTATGGCCTGCTAGTAGAGCCAAGTGCTGTACCATTTTAACTTAGTATGCCATAAGTGACACCTGCTGCTGCAAATTTAGATGTGGCATAGTCAAAAAGGCAGTCTAAAAGACTTTCATTGACATGATAAACTTGTAAAAATATAAACATGGATCACTTGTAAAAAAGACTTTCATTGACAAAGTTAAAAGTCATAAGAATATAAACATATATTGAAAGCTTTCATGCTTTTAGATTTTAGTTTTAAATAATATGAACTTATCCCGTAATGATACAAAAAGTATGAAAACACTCCTATTTGCTTTTAAGGTTTAAAAATCTTCTTAATGACCAAAAGCAACAACAGAACCAATGTCACAATAAAACATCTTTGTTTTCTTTACCTTTAAATAATCATTGTATTTCTTATAGTAATACTATTAAAAACTTATAGCATCAAGATACTGTAATCTTTACCAATTTATTACATTATACCATATATTCATGTACATGATATTCACCTACATATTTGTAAATTGAAAGCTGTCAATAAAGTATATAAAAGTATCAGGTTAAGTTTTTCAACAAATATTCATTCAAACGTTTTTTAACAGGAAAGCTTTGTTACAGAATAAATATCCTATGATGTAGATGCAGATTAATTATTGTATATTTTTCATTCCATACCAACTTTTTTTCCGGGCTAAGTCCGTCTGAGAACGGTTTGACTTCCTGTAAAATTTACAGGAAAGAACTGAGCATTTGAAGGATTTTCATTGGTCATTTTAAAATTGCAAACTGTAATCCTAGAATTTCATAAAAATTTTGTCATTCTAAAATTAGTATAATAATCTTAAGAATCTTTCTGAAATACATGTCAAAATTATCAAATCATCTAAAAGAGTATCGGAAACACATTCAGTGTTTGTTTGTTTTGGGTTTTTTACGTCACATCGACACAGTATAGGTCATATCGCGACATTCCAGCTTTTACTGGTGGAGGAAGACCTCAGGTGCCCTTCCATGCATTATTTCAGGCACAAACGGGTACCTGAGTAGAACCACCAACGTTCCTTAAGCTAGCTGGATAGCTTCCTCACATGAAAGAATCCAAAGTCCCTGTTGGGATTCGAACCCACAGCGTTGAGGGGTAAATGGTTTGAAGTCAACGACCTTAACCACTCGACCACGGACGCCCCCACACTCAGTGATTTTCTTACCTATATAAAAGACTCTGATAAAAGGCCTCGTTCCAATTGAAATTTTCTTTAAAGCTTTCCCAAAAATCTGAACTTAAACCTGCTTTTTTACTTCCCAAATTAGCAATTTTAATGATAATTTTCCCCCAAATCAAGTTGCTAAGGCCTCTTCCTAATTAAGTGAGAAAAATCACTAACACTTTCTAGTTAAATTTCTCGGATATTTGAGATCAGTGAATTTTCTCCCAATAAATATTTTACATTGCTTTAAAATTTTGTTCATTAATTCTCTAGTGAATATCTTATTCAACATAAGAATTATCCACTTATAAATGGCATTCTAAAATGACAAGACGACCATTAACATCCACGATCCCAGAAAAGCATGTGCATACCGAAAGACTGCAAATATGAAAGCAGTTTTACCTCGTCCGAGTATCTTTTAAAAGATACTTCTTGTTTCCATCTCAATGAGTTTGAAGAAAATACAAATAAGCAATTTGAAGAAGCAAATAAATGATAATGAATGAGGCAAGAAGTAATACAAGAAAATTTTAAGGAACAGAAGATTCAGCCAATGATTCTACACATATCCTTTAAAGTCTGAAAGAAGAGTTTAAAAAAAACAAACTTTGTAGGAACAAAGTCAGTTACCATTTTTTTGCATTTGACCTTAAAGCTTTGACTTAGTCACACGGTTCTTGTGCATTACACACAATCTCATTATTGTGCACATTTTAGCTAAGTTATTTAAAATTCTACAAACTTATGACAGAGTTTTGACTCGGACAAGAATAATCTAGATGGCAAGACAGACAGATACATACTCCAAACCACAATTGTGACAACTATGTTGAGCTCTCGATAAGCAGGCTCGACAAAAATTGACAATATTTCTAGCAATCTAATACAAATATGATTTGACATTATTAACCCTTTCACTGCCATAGGGACGGCTTAAGCCGTCCCTGTTATTTTCGGCGTATTTGCCATATGGACGGCTTCAGCTTTTTCTATAATAATAATAGTAATAATAATAAATTAATAATAATAATAATAAAAATAATAATAAATATAAAGAAAATTATACCATCAACAATAATTATTATTATAGTCTAACAGATTTGGAAACATATATAATTATTATAATACTAATAACAAATAATAATAATTATATTAATTAATAATATAGTAATTACTTTGAAAACTTTCTGGCAAATAGGTGATCAATAAAACAATAACCCTCTGGCAGCGAAAGGGTTAAATAATGTTGACTGAATAACTTTCTTTACTAAATTATCACAAGTATCTTCACTGGAATCCAAAACGAAATATTTTTTTCAAGATTTGTGTAACATTTGATAACCATTTGAAGTGCAATATTTCAGGTTATTCTCTTAATCCATTTTTCAAAAATAATCACTTTAATTGTGCAGAATGACCCAAAAATGAAGTGTTGACCCAGGTTAGAATTTCAAATTCTTTTTTTTCGGCTTTAAACTCACAAACTAAAAGATGCAATAATTAGGTTTCATTTTTATCATCTCTGCATGTTTTGGAAATAATCTATCATACCTCTTTTCGAAAGTTAAATAAAAACTCAGTTTAAAAGAAAATAAAACTCATTTTATTAGCTTTTTTATGTATTTTTAACAGGAAGTCAAAAAAGTTAGATAAATGAAAATGACATTAACAATCCTTGAATGATTTGCTTTAAACAGTTAACCCTTCCACTGCTGAATCCGGCACTTAATACTCATCTTGATATCCCCAAAAATGATAATGGACTGTTCCAAAATGCAAGCTGGACAAGTCCATTTAAGTAATTCAGGTTATGGTTTAAATATATACAGTTCATCATAATATATCAGTCCTCGAGTCGTAGTCGTAATCTTACATTTTGTTTTTATTTCCTTTATATTTTACCAGATCTTCTAGAATGTCTTTGTTTTTATGCAACATTTTCATGCAAAATGTACCTGTATTTATACTGCATGCTTTTATCTATGAAAAATCATTATTTTGACTAAATATTTTTGCCCTCAAATAGGAAAAAATAGACCACATTTTCACCATTGCAAATATTGCACCGAACAATAAAACATCATTATTTGTTTAATATAGATATATTATCTGATTTTGCTCTTATTTCAACAGTGTACAAGTAAATATAGCTGCAGGCTATTAAATAGCAATTAACTTTTCAATGTATGCAAAATGAATTAATTTAAATATCATAACCAAAGTGGCCATGAAAACTGTATATGAGCCAGTGCTCTACAAGTGATTTCATAATAAACCAAAAAAGTATTCTAAGCTTGAAAGTTATCATTAGATTTTAAAGATTTTAAACCTTTAATACTAAGACTATGTTCCTTACCTTTGGTTCTGGATGGCCTCCAGGTCTGTCCCACATTTCTGTATCCTCACCGCAATGCTTGGACCTGTACAACAGTACCATATGGTTGTCAACTGTTTGAACAAGAGCACCAACTCCGAGGGCATCTGACAAATATGCCTGTGAATCATCATGGTCACAAAGACCTTGACTTTGTAAAATCAGCAGTTCCTTAGATAGATTAGAACCTTGAAAATCTTTATAGCATGTTATTCCCATGTTCAAAGTCAAAGTTTCACAATTTTCTTCGACAGAATGCAGTCGAAATTTAGTTCCATTAAACAGGGAAGGCAACTCAGCAAGACGTCTTTTCCATGTTTCTTCTATTTCTTTTTCAAGATTAGGCAATGTCTTTCTATTAAAAGCAGGATCTAATTTCACTCTGACATTTGATGGACAAGTTTGGTCCTTAGATTTAGTAGTGTAAATAATTGAAGATGTAGATGCCTCCATTATTCTGAAAAAAAAATAAAGATAATTTATAGATATGCAATTACCAAAAATCAATCATTCCTTACAATTATTATATTTATCATCATTATGTCTGACACATTTATGCCAAATTATCAAAACCAAGTTGTCATTTTGTCCAATACATTTATGCATAGTTATTTTTAAATCCATCCAAGAATCACAGAATTGTTGACCGGACACAAATATCAGTGTACTTTTTTTAATTTCATGACTTTCGAACTACAAGTGTGACCTTGACCTTTGAGGCAGGGACCAAATTCTTGTGATCTGCAAGTCATCATCATGTCCAAGACATCTATGTATAATCATTCTTAAATCCAGCCATCAAAGACAGAAATTCATCAGAGTGTCACCTTGACGTTTCAGCTACAGACCTAGAACTTGCACATGACACAATGCCCTAATGTGCTATACAAACTTATTTTAAAATACATCCATAAATGACAAAGTTATAGACTGGACAGTTTGGACAGAAGGACAAATGAACTGAGTAGTGATCCCCACTCTTCTGTAGCAGACGACACACAAAAATCTGGAAAAAGATTATTCTCAAGGTGCTTGCTTAGCACTTTACCATAAAAAAATCATTAAGACAGATTAATGAAAAGCAAGAACATTTGAAAATAAACCTTCACTACGCTTTCTTCCTTTGTAGACTATATTTAACTATAACTCAGGTCCCTTCCAAAAAGAGAAAAGCCGGAAATATATCTCTATAAAGTTTTTACCTGCGTGGAAAATATTTTATAAATGTCAAGCAGCTAAATGTATGTTTACTCATGGTGAATTTGGTAGTTCTGTTGTTACAAAACATGTTTACCTAAAAAATCTGGAGTATCTTTTCAAGTTTGATATTTCAATTATCATAAATAAAGATATAAAAATATGGATAAAAATAATAATATTTTTATTTTATAAAAGTAACTGAAAGATATGTCTACTTTGCTACGTATTCATGCAAAGATAGTATATGAACATGTTGACATTATCTCACTCCATATAATAGACAAACACGCCTTCATCCTCACATGGCATATCAGATATCTACTAGCTCAGTCGATTAATAATTACCAGTAATTTTCATTCTTTCAAAGAACAGTTGTTTAATGGCACACATTGCCATCATATGTAGGTAGTGCAGACACAATCCCAGGATTTAAGTCAGCACTAGCTGCATCAGTGTTTCATTCTTTAGTTACATCACATCATAGATACTGCTTTTATCCTGTTTTTGACTAACATTCTTACCGTCTGCACAAGTTTTGTCTGTATATATGTATTTAAGTCTTCAGCGTGTTAGGTTTTTGAACTTTTTTTTATCACTGTATAAAGGTTTTTCCTGAGTGGATTGAGTACATGCCTATCACACTAATCTTTTTTTAACTCTGCATGCACAGCCATAACATATCATAAATGAACAAAGCCATTATTTAAGAGAAGAAGAAGAAGAAGAAAATATGTCTTATTTTAAAAAAAAAATTGCCAGGGCAAATTATGGCAAGTAATATGCTTGAATATCTTATTTATAGTACAAAGGTGCTGGATAGTAATGTAGTCCAATACATTAGATCTTACAGGCTTGTTGTAGTTAATGATTGTCAAGCTTCGCAAAGATTGAAGAAGTCAAAATATATCAAAGCAAAGTCATATTTATAGGACTAGATCTTGTTCTCAATATTTAATAGGAAGTGGCTAGCCGTACGGGCCCGTATGGCTAGCCAAAAGTTCTAGCTGTATGTGAGTCATGTACGATTAGCCAGGACACACTGTATTGGCTAGCCATACGGTACTTTTCAAAATTATATGGAAGTCGAAAATGCATATGCTATTTTGTGTCTTTAAATTTTAATCAAATCTCCGCATTTGTCCTAGTATGTTCACTTTAATAAAGATACTCGGCAATTTTGTAAAAAAAATGAATAAGAACAAACGTTGAATAATCTATCTTAATAAAATTGTCAAAGTTGCATGTTATAATGTCCTTCAATAGAATTTTAGAATGCGTTTCACAGAACATGCAAATTTTCCTTAATGATGGACAAACTTCTATACCGTCGGTAATTGACGCAATTATCAGAGCCCAACAACAATTATTTTCGGTGTTTTTTTTTTCAATTTAAAAATTAAACTTAATGAAACAAAAAAGGATTATTATCAAAATTTTGTAAACTATTTCAATTGACGTTATTTAACTGCAACCAAACGCTATTTTTTCTCGACCTCTTGAGATGACAAAGTACATTCTTTACTGCAGCCAACAAGGCAATTAATCTCTAAAAAGTAAACATTCTTGGTTAAAATCCTTGCTTGAAGTCATAAAATAACATAAGCACTTTCGCCTTCCATATAATTTTGAAAAGGGCCGTACGGCTAGCCAATAAAGTGTGTCCTGGCTTGTCGTACGTGACTCATGTACGGCTAGAACTTATGGCTAGATGTACGGGCCCGTACGGCTAGCTACTTCCTATTTGATAGGTAAGTTTACAGCAAGTTTATCATTATTGACAAGACAAATGAGCCAAATTCCAAATGATTGTTGTGTGATTGTTTTATTTCTATAAGATTTTATTATATCTTGTCTAAAATAATAAACTGAACAAACTTTGTTAAAAATAAATAAATCCCACTACTTGGTTCGAATAATATTGGGCTCGAACATGAATACTATCTGTCGCGAAATCTAATGACATTAAGATCAAAACATATTTTCAAATAAAGTATATAACTGACAACTCTTGTTTTTCAAACTATCAAATCAAGTCTTCCTTAATGTTATTTTGAGTTATCGTAAATCATAGAAACTGTAACAAGAACTAGCATACCATTGATTTGTTGACAAATCTGACAGCGGAACCGGAAGTCAATGTAATGCGCATGCCGAAACCCTTGACAACCGAGACAACTACACACTACGAGGACTTCAGTGAAACAACACATCAAAATATTTGAGAAATTCAGTGTTTGTAAAATGGAGTCCGACAGCCTTCACCTATGTATTGACTATGTTGGAAGTAGCGGAGTTGTTCTTAGCCCAGAGCAAAAAGCATGTTTACAAACATCTTTGGTAATTTTGAAAAGTGAAAGCAAATTGAAGAAAGTTTATTTCTGGGGGAAAATTATTGGAATCAAAGATGACTATTTTATAGCACAAGGAACTGGAAATGATGAAATGGCAGATAGAAGGACATACTACAGGTATTTATTGCTTTTTGTTATTGTGTAATTTTGTTGTCACTAGTCTACTTCGTTTTATATACATAACCATGTTTGTAACACTCTAAAAAGTCTTATATTTGTGTTTGTATTTCTTACAATCTGATTAAAATTTTAATAATGCTGCACTATTTAACATGTAAATTATATAAGATCTAAAGGGAAACTTATCCAGATACATAAGTGCATAGCCCATCAATAACAGAAATATTTCATAATAAACTTCTACTATGTAAATTGGTACACATTATATTATTACTAATATTATTAAATTCCTACTAAATTGTCCTACTTGGCAACCACCTCTGAAGTTTAAAGTCACAAGGTTTGTTGTCTTCTGTATGATTTAGGGTAAAATGCCAGACATACAAGATGTAGTTCTATATTAACGTATTTTATGCCGAATTGCTACATTTTCTTTTTAAAAATTTCTTTTATCAAAATGATGATTCAGATGTTAATATTTTAGATGCATTAAATTTTCATTTTCATGATTTTAGCAAAGACTGTGTAAACTGGGGTCTTCTTCCACCAGCAACTAAGCAGATGAGAGAGCAGAGCAAGCTTGCTAAAGGTAGATTCACTGGTGACCCATCATTTGAATTTGAACATGTAGAAACAAAGAAAGTAGGTGAAGGTGAAGATGCCACTGAAGAAGAAGAGACGGTAAAGCCTACATATTTATAACTTGTATACAAGTTAAAACATTTAATAATTTTGGTTTTCATTTTAAAATGATTTCATCATATAAATGAAAAGAAAATGTAACACATCAAGTACAGCCTGAAAAAAAACAACAGCTATTTATTCACAGGTAACTAGGTAAATTATTTGAATTTCAGTTAAGTTTACTACATTTGTTAACTACAATCAATTATCTTCAACATTTACAGATAACCATTAAAGAAGAAGACAGACTCTCCTCAGTTATAGCTGAGATTGACGAGGATGTTTGTATGGTACCAAGGGGTGCTTTTATCAAAACACCAACAGGCATTGTTAAACCAAACAGAAGCTTTGAAGGTAATTTTCTATTTTCTTCTGACATTCCATTTGATCTTACAGTCAAGAAATAAACATACTGTACATAATCAAATTTAACTATGTTTTTATGCAAAAGAATAATAAAGAAAGAACTTTAAAAAGCTGACAGTTTATAAAAAAAAATCTTAAGTATATTTGTTGCACTGTTAAAAGTTATCATAGTAAAATATATTCCAAGTACTTGTATGAAAACACTCGACCATTCGAGAATTTGTTTCTAATTCATATATTATTTATAAACATACATCAAATATCCATAATTGATTACAGGTTTGACTGTATCAGAGGCTGCCAAGTTATGCTCATACATGCACTTCAGAGACGCTAAAATTCTCATGGAGAAATCCCTTCTTCACAAAGCTAACCTCGACAAATCTATTGACTTTATGGACACATTAGAAGATGACATTCCTAAAGGTAAGATAAGCTCTTTTTCTGTATATAACTTTATTTATTTGGTAAAAGTTTAAGACCATCACTTTGGTAAATATTTATTTTTTTATCTTCTTAAACTGATTTACTGCCTGTTTACATTGTGCAGTATATTTTGATGGTTCCAGGAAATAGTTTCACATTTGCATTACATCAAAATTACTGTTTCAGGTTCCTGGAGTCTGCAGTTTGAGCGTGGAAGTGGTTTGGTTTGTCTGCGAAGTACCTTGTGGTTAGGATTTGTTTTTTACCATGTACCTGGAACCAAAAAGTTTGGCTCAGTTTACTGCGGTACCGGAGAGAAGAATTCAGATTTACCTTTCATGTTGTAACTTTGTGTACGCTATAACTAAACTAAAGAAAAAATCTGTGAACAATTAGAAAGTGTTGTTTTAAAAATGTAAATAAGTGATCAAACAATAGTAATGATGTAATACAAAATAAAGTTTTGTTGCACTCTTTTACTTCTCACAAAACTTCAAACAAGATCAGTGTGAGAACAATAATTATGAGATTAACAACATGGACAACAGTCAACACATCATCAAAGTTGGATAGGAATTTCTGTGATATATGACAATTCGTTACTGATATACAAAATGTAGTTCTAATTTATATTGTTTTGTATTATTCTACTTGAAAGCATTTTTTTCTGTTCTTCTCATTTGTCAGAATAGAATATACATGTTCATACTTTAAAATTAAATTTATCCTCAAAATATTAGTCTTGTATTATCAAAGATATTTCTATCAATATATGTATAATATTTATTATACTTAGGAAGGTTGGACCAGTAATTTCATTGCTATGTTAACGAAAGGTGTGTTGGAGGAATTTTCATTAATTAATTAACTGGTATGCATTCATGACCTAAATGAAACATTTATCAGTTAAATAACAGGGGCTAACTTTATATAAAAACAAGAGGGCCATGATGGCCCCGAGGTCGCTCACCTGTATAAAGGCACCCAGAGCGGGGCCAGTTTAAACCCCAGGGCTTCTATTTGAACAAACTTGGAAGACACCCAATAGAAGATGTTTCACGATGTTAAGTTTTTACTACACACATATAATGAAAAACAACAATCTACCCCCCCCCCTTAGCAGGGCCAATTTTAACCCAAGGGCTTTAATTTGAACAAACTTGGTAGACACCCATAAGAAGATGTTTCATGCTAAATATCTAAGCTCTAGCTCATTGGGTTTTTTTAAAAGAAGATTTTTTAAGTTTTTACTATACACATATATTTTAAAACCAATGACACCCCTGGGGCGGGGCCAATTTTGACCCCAGGGCTTTTATTTGAACAAACTTTGTAGACAATTACTAGAAGATGTTTCATGCTTAATATCTAAACTCTAGCTATTTGGGTTTTTTCAAAGAAGATTTTTAAGTTTTTGCTATACAAATATAAGGAAAATCAATAACAGCCGGGGCGGGGCAAATTTTGAATCCAGGGCTTTTATTTGAACAAACTTTGTGGACACTCACTAGAAGATGTTTCATGCTTAATATCTAAACTCCAGCTATTTGGGTTTTTTCAAAGAAGATTTTTTAAGTTTTTGCTATATACATATAAGGAAAATCAATGACCCCCGGGGCGGGGCCAATTTTGACCCAAGGGCTTTTATTTGAACAAACTTGGTAGACACCAATAAGAACATGTTTCGTGCTAAATATCTTAGCTCTAGCTCTTTGGGTTCTTTAAAAGAAGATTTTTTAAGTTTTTACTATATGCATATAGGGAAAATCAATGACCCCCTGGGGCGGGGCCAATTTTGATCAAAGGGCTTTTATTTGAACAAACTTGGTAGACACTCACTAGAAGATATTTCATGCTTTATATCTAAACTCTAGCTATTTGGGTTCTTTAAAAGAAGATTATTTAAGTTTTTACTATATGCATATAGGGAAAATCAAAGACCCCCTGGGGCGGGGCCAATTTTGACCCCTGGGCTTTTATTTGAACAAACTTGGTAGACACTCACTAGAAGATGTTTCATGCTAAATATCTTAGCTCTAGCTCTTTGGGTTCTTTAAAAGAAGATATTTTAAGTTTTTACTATATGCATATAGGGAAAATCAAAGACCCCCTGGGGCGGGGCCAATTTTGACCCCCAGGGCTTTTATTTGAACAAACTTGGAAGCCACTCATTAGAAGATGTTCATGCCAAATATCTAAGCTCTAGCTCTTTGGGTTTTTTAGAAGAAGATATTTAAAGTTTTTTCTTTTGGTTGCCATGGCAACAAGAGTTCTGCATGGAATTAAATTCTTTGAACAATTTTTAAAGGTGACCACCAAAGGAACATTCCTGTGAAGTTTGGATGAAATTGGCTTAGTGGTTTATGAGGAGATGTCATTTAAAGTAAAAGTTTACGGACGGACGGACGCCGAACGAAAAGCGATCACAAAAGCTCACCCTGTCACTTTGTGACAGGTGAGCTAATAAGAGCTGCCCACTGCATGATCAACTATTTTTCCTGTTAAATAGTAAAACTGCTGTGAAAATGTATGAATTTTCAGGCTCACAAAGGGGTGTAATCTGTCAAAATCAATTGGCAATTGATCTTGCGCAAGCTAAACTTTATAGAGAAATACTACATAGATACATGAACAAGATCTGCCCCAGCCAGACAATATTCTTGGCTTTTTACAGTACCAGATAGTACTAAGACTTCTAAATCAGCACAAAGGGCTATAAAATACAATAAAAATCTATACCACAAAATGTCTTAGATAGTTACCTTAAGATGAATACATTTCCATTGTTAACAAGCTACCTGACGGATAGACTGACAAGACGGTTGGACAGAAGCCATAACATAAGTATAACATATGCCCGAAATTCTTTCGGCCATATAAAAAGTGTATTAGCTAATTTTTGTGTGAAGTGTTCATAATAATGGCTAATCATGTTGAATGATTATACCATATTTGTGTATAATTACCATTTGTATACAGTATAGGGACATTAATGACAGAGTGGTTAAGGCTGCTGACTTCAAACCACAAGACCCTCAATACTGTGCATTCAAATCCCAGCTTGGACTTTGGATTCTTTCATGAAATAAGCTCTCCAGCTAGGAACATCCAAGGTTCTACTAATGTACCAGTTTATGCCTGAAATTATGCACAGAGGGACCCCAGAGGTCTTCCTCCACCAGTTAAGCTGAAAAGTAGCAATTCTACAGTGTTGATGCTACCTTAAATCCAACCAACAAAAACAAAACATGTATACACAGAGACAAATTAGGTTATCCATTTGTCAGCAATTCTGAGTAATTTTGAAACCACTCTTATCACACTCGCAGGATATTTTCTATCAGGTTAAAAGTTAATCTTGACTAAATGCAAAATCAAAGTTTTGATTTTGATGCAGCATTTTATGGTCCAATTTAAAAGGGAATCCTATGTCTCTGTTGAGATTTGAACCCATGCTATTGAAGGTCAAATGTTTTAGTCTATAATCTTAAGCACAGAGGCCCAAGCTTTAAACTTACACATCTAATGTTATTGCTCTGATAAATGTCAAGATAGTCATTATATTTTCATTTTTAAATTGTCTAAATATAAACAAACGATTGTGGAAACATTGTTCAAGTGTATTTATTTGTTTGTTAAATATGTAATATTACAGTGGTATATTAATCATCAATAACATCATGATAGTAAACATTATATTTCTTCCAGGCATGATCAGACATCTGACTATATTCTTTAGGGTAAATATGGGGCCGCAAATTCTGCATCAACCCTGAAAATAATGATAAAAAAAATTGTTAATTTTAAATGTTATTTTGACGGTAAAAACATCAAATTTTCATTCTTTTAAAAATTTTGTTTGACTGAAGGCTTTTAACAATTTAATATATTATTATACAGTTATTTCATGGGTGTTTGTGGAACAGTCAAAACTGTAACCCAAGGTATCAGGAATGACATTTGGGACTGTTGCCAGAGGCCAATGGCCGAGGGGAACAGTTCCAAATGTCATCTTTTATTCCGAGGGACAACAGTTTCCTGTTCCACAAACATCAATGAAACAACTGTTTTATTACCTAATACTTTGATATATATTGCAACAACATACTAATAACAATTTACAAGTGTTTTAATTGTTGACAAGTGAATCCTACGTTTGATTTTCTAAAAAAAAATCACTATGGAAGGATATTAATTCAAACATGTTAACTCTCCCACTCTAAGCGGGAGACTTCCACTTTCTGCAGCCATATTTTCAAAGATTTTTCTTAAAATATGGGGTATTTTCGCAAATTATTATAAACCAGGAAACTTCCATGTACCTACTTTATTTTTCAAAATTGTGGAAAAGGATAGTAAACTCAAGACCAACATAACCAAAAAATAAATGAATGGGCAAAGCAGTCAGATTGATTGAATCTGTTTGTGAGAGAAAATGGAAAATACAACATCTCTCATCATTGAAACCATGAAGAAAACAAGCAATTATCATAGTATTGCAAGCAATCCATAAGTCCCCTACCAGTTAGAACCCAAGCAACATTCTGATGGGCCATTGGCCATTCAATTTTACCAGTGAATGAATGAAATGAAATCTTTTGAGTTCTAAGTTTGTCTATATCACAGTAATGTGTTAAGTTTCCCTGCCTAGGAAGGAAATCATGTTTATACAACCTTGTCATATTATTACGATGTGGGATTTTAAAGTAAATCCTATAAGGAATGAAGAAGTTGGAGTAAAAATTACCAATTTCTCGAAAAAAATCTAAGTTCAGAGGGGACATAATTCTGGAAATAGTCTTGCTAGAGTATTTAACCTTCTCAAAAATGTTGGGTGATAATAAGAAACATATATATGAAGTTTGAAGTAGATACATAAGGAAATAAAGAAGTTATTTAAAAAAGACAACATTTTTTTTTCATAAAAATTCTAAGTTCAAGGGAGGTAATACTGATAATTTTTGTGCTAGAGTTGTAAACCTTGTCACATATGATGTGGTTGATGACCAGAAACTTATATTTAAAGTTTGAAGTAAACACCTAAAGAAATAAAGAACTTATAGTGAACAAGCTGAAAAATTGAAATCAGAAATCTTGAAATTCAGGCTACTTGTTGCCATAGCAACCAGAAATTTCAACATAGGAAGAAAAGAAAAAGATGTGCATAATCTCCAGACTGAAATCTACCCATATTTCAAGTTTCATAAAAATATTTTCAGTACTTTTTGTCTATAAAGGGCAACTAATTTTGACAAAGTTAAAAAGGGGAATAACTAAAAAAATACAGCTTTCATAATTATACATCTTGTCTAACAACTGCACTTTGTCTTGACAAGCAGGTATTCAAATTTCCTTTGACAAAGTTTAAAATGATTGAGTAATGGGCTTTATTAAAGTTTTTCCACAACAAAGAGCACAGCATAATAGCTTGACCTTTTCTTTGTAACAGACAACCTACAAAACACACGCCCGGCAAACTGTCGCTCCACTTCAAAATTGTGGTGTACGGTAAAACGAGCGAACGGCATTTCCGAGATAGAGCGGAAGGCCGATTTAAACGCCTAATTGTAAGTATTATGTTTTTGTCTTGTTATTCATTTAAGTTGTATTTTTTCTAAAAAAAAAAATGTAGTTCCGTGTAGGATTGATTTAGGCTTCCAATGATCTAAGCTGTTACAAAACAAAATTATATTAGGCCAAGGAGAACTTTTCTCCCTGACGAAGCGAACGATGATTTGTAGAATATTGAACTTCCCAACCATAGAAATGCCATACCCTTCGGATTTCTTGAAAAAGTTTATTAGTAAATTATCAACCCATAATAAGAACTTGTCCTTCGTGCAAAATAGATTACTCCTGAATGATTTCTTAGATTTGTAAATCAATATTTTTCGAAAGTAGTGGAGCGAAAGGGCAAGAGATGGAGCAAAAGGTTCGATGTTGAGCGCAAGGCGATATTAATTTGACGTATTAGGAGGAGCGTAGTCTATGATTTTTTATATATAAAAGCTATAGAAGCTAAAATAGACGTGATCAAGTGTTGAGACCGAGATATATATACCTTTTAAAGACAACTAATAAAGTGTGATATCCTTTCAACGACTATAGCGTAATAAATGTAATCGCGAAGGTGTCACCTATGGCTGCCGTGTAGATTCCATTATTTATGTTCGAAATTTGGATGAGGCCCGACCATTGAATCATACACATGTATGCATGGCATAAAACAGGATGCCACTTATTCGAGGTCAATCATGATTTTTCACACGGTTATGTACATTTAAAAACGTGTGTCCGTGCAAATTCGTCAAAATTGAATATTTTCAGTTCTACCGCGAACAAATGTTTCCGAGCTGGTACGTGTAACGCGATTGTTCACGCCAAAATGTTATGTTTTTCGAAAAATTAGATATTCAAGGTGCAGAACAGAAGCAAAATTATGCAATGCATGGAACACATTAAATTAAATGGATCACTACTACCGAGTTCAGTTCACAATGACTTTCTGTCATTAATAGCTCTAACGTATATGTTCAGAGCAAACACAAATTTTAAATGTACATGACCGTGTGAAAAATCATGATTGACCTCGAATAAGTGGCATCCTGTATTATGCCATGCATACATGTGTATGATTCAATTATATATAATGGTCGGGCCTCATCCAAATTTCGAACATTGTTTGTTTGTTTCATTTTACGCCTTTTCCAAAAAGTATTTCAGTCATATAGACGGGTAGTTTCCTAACCATCGTTCCTGGAGAGGTACACCAGTACTAGACTTCCTTCCTCCGTGCAAAGCTACCAAAGTATCTCCCGGGGATCGAATCCACGCCAGAGAAGTAACTGGATTAGAAGTCATTGACTCTAAACCCTCGACCACGGAGGCGGTCAATTTCGAACATAAATAATGGAATCTACACGGCAGAAATCGGTGACACCTTCGCGATTACATTTATTACGCTATAGTCGTTGAAAGGATATCACACTTTATTAGTTGTCTTTAAAAGGTATATATACCTCGGTCTTAACACTTGATCATGTCTATTTTAATTTCTATAGCTTTTATATATAAAAAATCATAGACTACGCTCCTCCTAATACGTCAAATTAATATTGCGTTGCGCTCAACATCGAACCTTTTGCTCCATCTCTTGCCCTTTCGCTCCGCTACTTTCGAAATTTAAAAATTTAAGAAATCCTTCAGGAGTAATTTATTTTGCACGAAGGACAAGTTCTTATTATGGGTTGATAATTTACTAATAAACTTTTCAAGATATCTGAAGGGTATGGCATTTCTATGGCTGGGAAGTTCAATATTCTACAAATCATTGTTTGCTTCGTCAGGGAGAAAAGTTCTCCTGGGCTTAATAAAATTTTGTTTTTGTAACAGCTTAGATCATTGGAAGCCTAAATAAATCCTACACGGAACTACATTTTCCGTTTTTCGAAAAAATACAACTTAAATGAATAGCAAGACAAAAACATAAACAATACTTACAATTAGGCGTTTAAATCGGCCTTCAGCTCTATCTCGGAAATGCCGTTCGCTCCTTTTACCGTACACCACAATTTTGAAGTGGAGCGACAGTTTGCCGGGCGTGAAACATGGACAAGCAAAATTAAATACAATAAAATATACCAGCAGTGTGAGCTTCATGGATCAGTTTCTTCATACGAGCATGTTGTGGATAACACAAACCAGAAATCTGTCTTGGAACAACTTCACCATCTTCCTGAACAAACTGACTAATTATCATTATATCCTGTAATGTAATATTACAAATAAAACTATACAATATGTAATATATTATAACTGTTCTGACAAGTCTTTAATCTTCAACTTGCTAATTTTCTTAAATGGACTTGTCCAATATCAATCTTGGAACTGACTTTTATCACATTAATATTTAGCATATCAGTAATGTTTTGAGACTGGTCAGACTGCAAGAATGCATAATAAGTCTGTCAGACTATCATAATTATAGGAAACTTCTTATATATATTGGTTAAATTTACTAAATAAACCATTTAAATGATATTGAATAGACTGTAAATGCTCTCACCGTGTAGTTTATATCTAAATTTAGTCGACAAAGTGGACATAATTTCTTATCAGTATCATCTACTTTTAAAACTTGGTCTTTTCTTGGAGAATCTATCATTCTCCCTTCAACCTGCAAAATAATTAAACATATAATAAACATATAAAACCATGTGTGATTTCATTACATTTTGTTCTTTTTTAATGAATAAAAAACAAGTGCTATGAAACAAGAGGTCCATGATGGCCTTAATCGCTCACCAGAGGATACTAGAAATACTAGTATGGCCTACATGAACAAAATTACCAGGATATTTCTTGTTCAACAGACCAGAACCATTTGAGCAATTTTCATAAGGGTGATCATTGCTATACAGTTTCAACAAAATCTAACAATTGGTATTTTATTTTTTATTTCTATTTTAAGTGGCCATTTAGCAAACTGGAATAAATTCAGCAATTTCTGTAAAGACCACCTAAGAATCATTTCTGAAAAGTTTCATCAACAAGAGGGCCATCATGAGGTCGCTCACCTGTATATAGGCCCCCAGAGCGGGGCAAGTTTAAACCCAGGGCTTTTATTTGAACAAACTTGGAAGACACCCATAAGAAGATGTTTCATGATGTTAAGTTTTTACTACACACATATAATGAAAAACAATGATCTTCCACCCTCCTCCTTCCCCCCCCCCCAGCAGGGCCAATTTTAACCCAAGGGTTTTTATTTGAACAAACTTGGTAGACACCCATGAGAAGATGTTTTATGCTAAACATCTAAGCTCTAGCTCTTTGGGTTTTTTTAAAAAAAGATTTTTTAAGTTTTTACTATACACATATAGTTAAAAACAATGACACACCTGAGGCGGGGCCAATTTTGACCCCAGGGCTTTTATTTGAACAAACTTTGTAGACACTTACTAGAAGATGTTTCATGCTTAATATCTTAACTCTAGCTATTTGGGTTTTTTCAAAGAACATTTTTAAGTTTTTGCTATACACATATAAGGAAAATCAATGACCCCCGGGGCGGGGCCAATTTTGACCCCAGGGCTTTTATTTGAACAAACTTTGTAGACCCTCACTAGAAGATGTTTCATGATTAATATCTAAACTCTAGCTATTTGGGTTTTTTCAAAGAACATTTTTAAGTTTTTGCTATACACATACCTATAAGGAAAATCAATGACCCCGGGGCGGGGCCAATTTTGACCCAAAGGGCTTTTATTTGAACAAACTTGGTAGACACCCATTAGAACATGTTTCATGCTAAATATCTTAGCTCTAGCTCTTTGAGTTCTTTAAAAGAAGATTTTTTAAGTTTTTACTATATGCATATAGGGAAAATCAATGACCCCTGGGGCGGGGCCAATTTTGACCCCAGGGCTTTTATTTGAACAAACTTGGTAGACACTCACTAGAAGAAGTTTCATGCCAAATATCTAAGCTCAAGCTCTTAGGATTTTTTAAAAGAAGATATTTAAAAAAATTTCTTTCGGTTGCCATGGCAACCACAGTTCTGCATGGAATTAAATTCTTTGAACAATTTTTAAAGGTGACCACCAAAGGAACATTCCTGTGAAGTTTGGATAAAGTGGCTTAGTGGTTTATGAGGAGATGTCATTTAAAGTAAAAGTTTACGGACGGATGGACTACGGATGGATGACGGACGAAAAGCGATCACAAAAGCTCACCCTGTCATTTTGTGACAGGTGAGCTAATAAAAACATTCCAATTTCATATCATAAACTAGTGTCAACCACACAGTTCTAACCATTTTAAATTCTAGATGTGGAGTGTAAAAAGCAAAAACAAGTGTCCACATACATATAAAATATAATATAAATTAACTTACTGTAGTTACATTGCCCTCAGTTTTCTGTATAACTGGAAAAAAACAGAAAGAAATAATTTATCTATGCAAGAAATATAATTCCAAAACATGTATTTTGATATAAATATAAGTAAATCTAAACAAGAAAAATTAACCATTACAGTAGTTTCAAGTAACCTGTCTGCTATCTAAAGGGAGACCATACTTTGAAACCATATTCAAGATGAGGTCTGACTTACGTCTGATAAGCAACAGACTAAATGGATTTAACCTTTATGTTTCTGTGTAGGAATCCTAAGGTTTGGTTTGCTGTCCTGTTTATGTGGGCATCCCTCACAGGTTTTCAGATATTTCCCCATCTAGGTATTTAGCTGAGGTAACTGATTTTAATTGAACTCCATGAAGGTAGTATGGGTAGTGTTGGGATAGGATGTTTCCTTTTTGTGATGTGGATATCTTGACAAGTGGAGGAGTTAAATTCCATATCCTAGTTCCACTCCAATTCCCAATTTTCTACCCAATTTAGGTCATTGGAGGATGACTGAATGGTTTGCAAATATCAGAGCAACGTATATTGCAGTATCGTCAGCAACAAGTGGACCTGGGAATTTATGTGTGTTTGTATTTGGTTTATTTACCCTTGGCGGAATGAACCATATGAGATGAGCATATATTCATCATTTATAATAGACTAAAATTTGGTTTCATTTGTTTAAAGTTGCCAATGCTTATATCAGTACATGTGTTTTCGTGTGTAATACTTTCATGATTCTCATATCACGATCATAACCAGGTAGATATAGTGAAATGAGAATAACATGGGAGTACTCCTATACTCAAATTAATGTGCAAGACATTTATTAAGTCATCGTCTTGTATAACAAACCAGATAAAAAATATTATGTTTCATAGGAGGTCATTTATAGAGGCGAGAAACAGGAGGGATCCTAGAACTGAGCCCTGGGGAGGTGGGGGAACTCGAGGATACTGGGATAAGGTTTGAGCTACTGACATTAAGCACAACTGCATTACTGCAGCCTATTATCAAGAAAACATTTGACCTCTGATTCAATTGAATAATGTATTTTCAACAGCACTTTCTCATAACTGACCCTATCGAAACCATTTATGAAATCTATGAGAATCAGATCTACTTGCTTTTTCTCATATACTGCTGTGACCAGGTCATTTAGTGATTTACAAACATAATAAGCTGCCCAACACATCTGACACCTTAGTGCAGTAACTGGTTAACTCTATTAAATTATATGAGAAGTTAACCTGTTACTGCACAGCACTAAGATAACCGTATGAACTTTTTCCCTGAAACCATGATAGAGGTGGTAATGGATATTATGGTTGATGAATTGTTTGATAATGCCTTTGATTAATGGTAAAGGTATTCCTTAAAGGCATAGTCCTTACATAAAACCACAGGAAATTGACATTCTTTAAGCAAATAATTAAAAAATAACGAAAAATATACCCTTCTATAATAGCGAGCTCGACGAGCTGGCCCAAAGGGCCTGCTCGCAAAGCGAGCTTTACGGTAACGCGAGTACCTGGTAAGTGATGGTTTTGAAATCTTTCGTTCAAAGTACCAAATTGGACACATCGCAACTTTTCGAATTTAAAGATAACGATAAAAACTGAGGAATTCTGACTGAAAACGGATGTGTAGACTGGTCACCCGCGCACGTCTAGGGGAATCATAATTGGACAGGGAACCAGAATAACGGAAGCTGTGTATAAAATATTGAATGACAGTTTTAAAACAGAAAATGTAAAATGAAAATTGAACGATTATTTTAACCGACTTTTCCCGTACATAAGTTTTGCCTGATTTCATTAAATGTACATTTACCTCCTCTTTTTGAAGAAACAAAACATTCTAACACTATCGGAAATTTCTACGACAATGCAGTGAATGCTCGCCGTTCTTATTATCTCCCCGTGTATTTTCACATTGAAGGCGCCATTTTGTTTGAAAAATCTGATAAATAAAAACAATTTTTTGTCGAATTTTGTTGTGAAAACTATCTAGAATGAAAGAAAATGGTCTAACTAAGAAAATGAATCCGAACACCAATATCTTTTATTCAGTCGTTAACGCTGTACAGACGTTTAAAGTATTGTTTACGTGACGTCACAATGTAGCGCCAAACAGCACGTGCAAAACAATCAAATCAAGTACGCTATTTTAATGTCGCAAACGTGTTAAGTTTTACATTTATTTCACTTTTAATAATCTTTATTTCGCTTGAAAAATTATAGAGTGAAATAAAATAAACAAACAAAGTTTTATCAACGTTTGTTTTCAAAACTCGTTATTCATTTAACGACAGGGGCGGAGCCATATTTAACACAGTACGTGTGACGTCACACGGACTCGTCACTGCATTTAAAACAAGATATGTTTGTAAAACATGTATGCCCCCTATCAGCAGCCAATTAGTCATGTGATAAGGTTATAATGCATGACTTCTGACCCAGTGATCAAACAATTAATAAGGGTTATAAAGTATCTACTGGTCATGACTTTGACCCCTTGACCCAAAACTCAATAGGGGTCATCTGCTGGTCACGACCAATCATCATACAAAGTTTGAAGTTCCTAGGCCAAGGCGTTTTTAGTAAATTGATCAGAAACCGTTTTTACCTACAAGGTCAATGTGACCTTGACCTTTGACCCCTTGACCCCAAAATCAATAGGGGTCATCTGCTGGTCATGACCAATCACCATGCCTAGGTTGAAGTTCCTAGGCCTAAGGGTTCTCTTATTATTGATCGGAAACCGTTTTAATATACAACATACAATATACAATATACTTGACCCCAAAAATCAATAGGGGTCATCTACTGGTCATGACCAATCACCATACCAAGTTTGAAGTTCCTAGGCCTAAGGGTTCTTTAGTTATCACTCGGAAACCATTTGGTCTACGGACCGACGGACCGACAAGTGCAAAGCAATATACCCCCTTTTCTTCGAAATGGGGGCATAATAAAAATGAGCGATTATTTCATACTATTTCACGTTAAAAGTGCATCGAGCTCGCTTTGAGGCTTTGCCTTTTTCATATTATAAATAAACACAAGGAATGCAACGCCTTTTGCACACTCGATACACATCTTATCTAAAAACACACGTGGAAAATCAATGTCAACAAGACTAGTTTAGGAATTTCCATACACAATACAAAATTATTCCTTTTACAACCGCTGATATTTTAAATCAAAGCATTGTTTAATAAAAAAATTGGCAATATTTACTCAAATGTCAATATCTTTTAAGTGAGACCCTTATTTTTTAATTATTTACTTATATTTTTCAATTATTGATAGAATCATACATGCCATATCCTCCACCGGGGGACAAAAACCCCCGATTTTCGACCATGTCTCCCGATCTCCCGCCGTGGGATCGAAATCCCCCGATTTTCAAAAATTCAACCAACAAAAAAATTAAAGCATCATTTTTACCAATAAACATACTTAAACAACTTTTACAACTTTATATGCCTGAAGTAATACGGTATTTCCCCATTAAACAGCAGGGGTCTAACGGATGATTGTATTGTTAGTTACTCCGACACACTTCAGCTGTCAAGGAATAACAAATTCTCCTTTGATAAACCTGTCAATCAGTGTCAGTATTGCAGGTGCTTAACCAATGACAGCGTCCGATACTGAATGTGTGACTTATCAATTTTTGATGGGATATGTAACCCCGCCTTGAGTTTGTTGACGGCATTGGGTCTGTGAAGTAAAAAAATAATGATCAGGCAATAGAAACCTATAAGAATCACAGATTACCAATGTTTGAAACTATTATTTTTTATGTAACTGTGATCTATGTTGTTGCAAAAATAATATAAACTAGCTTTGTCTCACGTAGTCCTTCATTGAAAGACATCGCATTTTCTTTTTTTTACATTTTGACGTTTTTCGGAAAATGCCATGTAAAAAATAGCTTCAAATCCGCGGTTACGTCTAAATATTTGGACTACGTCTCACGGTAACCAACAAACACTGAGGAGGGATTGAAAGATGTAAAAATCCGTTTCAATCAGATAAATAATAAATAATACGTGTTTTAACACCCTAAGAGCCAAAATAATTAGGTCCAATTATTATCCAGTAGTCAGTACACTCCAAAAAAAACTTTACACAACCCTGCATCAATTACACAGTTTACATGTACATACAGGTATCAAGTGACGTAGCGTCTAGACTCCCTCCTGCCATATATGGTATAAAGCATGAGGCAATCGATGTGTATTGTGAAGTACATAATGACCTGAGTAAACTGGATTAAGATTTGTGTCAGATTTTTTTTGTGTCAACGGAAATTTTTTAAGGCAGCATTTTTTTATTTCACCTTTCTATGGCTACAAAATTCTCCGTGAAAATGTTGATACCTTTCATTTAAAGAGAAAAAAACTTTGGCTGTTAAAGTATATTTATTTTAATGCATCAAATTCAAGTTCATTAAAATTTTGTACTAAAATGATTCAATATATATCTGATATAAAATGTATTTTATATGATATACAATTATACATGCAATTAATTATATTTGTTTTACAGGGATTCTTATTTTATTTACATCAAATATTTAAAGTACCTATGTTTATTTGCAATTGTTTACATTATTATTCCTTCACAGTCATGTATGTTAAAACTTTAAAAAATATCAAATGATCTTGTAGAAATGTTCATTTTCATAATAAAATGGGGGAAATTTAATTATATGTTTGCATCGTTTTAAGATTACGACTGGTTTGTGATTGCTTAAAAATCCCCCTACTTTTGGTCCAAATCCCCTGCTTTTTAAAGCCAAATCCCCCTATCTGGGTGGCTGGAAATATGGCATGTATGTAGAATGGGCATAGAATGTCAACCTCCTGTGAATAAAACCCATGTTTTCAGGAAATTGGCCTATAATGACGTTTCATGAAGTTTATCTAAACTAAAAAAAATAACTAAGGTGTATATCCTATTTGACAGCACTTTCGTGAAAGGATGTCCTGTCAAGCGTGTGGTCATATGTTGAGTTCGAGTTGACTTGGAACGAATCAAGTGTCGAATGCGTTAAAACGCAGATAACAAATGAATTCTCTATAAGTTACTTTTACCTTCTCTTAAATATAACGTAGATGTTGAATGAAGAAATCTTTTTTTCAGTGTCACTGATTCTTTTTGCATTCTTAATAAACTAAATGAAATTCTGTGTAAATTACTGATGAACCTCATCGTTGCCGACATTTTTTTCAAGGGACGTAACTGTAGGGTTAACAGTTTATTAAAATGTCAACTTGGAATAATCAGTCATTCGATCCCCAGTCATTCACATGTTAAAAATCTTATAATATTATGTCTTTTAATTCATCAACGAGTTAACTGGAGGTTGACTAGACTAAATGTATTCGACTATATTTTAATTACTTGTCCCCAGAAAGCAGATCTACGCATGCGTGGCTTTCATAGTTTCGCTTCCTGTACAATTTTTGAAGATTGCAACAACAACAACAAAATAGCCTGTTTACTCTAAATTTATAAGACTGATGCATGTTGGGCAAATAATGTCATATCGTAAAATGCAACTCAGACACATACCATAAATAAAAGAAAATACAACATTCGTTTTAAAATTTTCACAAGCAATCATGTCTTGGTTTTTCGTTTGTAAACTTGTCTGAACTTATCAAAACAACAACAACAAATTTTGTTTTAAAATAGTGTCATTAGATCAGATCGTATTACAAAATGGAAAACGATACAACGGTGTCTGCTGCCTACATTTTTAGGGGCATAGAGTATATAGTGACAATGACTGTTAAGGATGACAGTCTCCTGGTTGTTGAAGTTGAAGATAAATTGACTGCAGACCAATGGAGAGCAGATTTTGATTCAGCATGTATGTTTACATTTATTTTGATGCTATTTCTTAAAGTTTTTAATGATTGCAAAACATATGAATGTTCAAGGCAAAATCGTTTAATTGAAAAAGCCAGGGTCGTGCTTATTTCTATTTAATTGACACGGGGGACAAGTTGCCTGAAAGCTTTCCATCTATTTAGTGGTTTCTTAATTGAACATATAGAGGATATTTGTTTAGTTCAGTGTAAGATCGGAATATATTTCACCGAGTGAGCACCAAAAGGTATATTTCACGAGTGGCGCAGCCACCAGTGAAATATGAACTTTTGGTGTTCACAAGGTGAAATAAATTTCAATCTTACACTAAACTAAACAAATTTTCTTTTTATTATATGCAAAGAAACATTTTAAAAAGACATTTAATCTAATACTGACTGAAAAGCGCGCCAAATAATATTACAACGTGACGTCATTTATTACAACGTAAGGGGCTTAAATTCAAAACAGTGAAATTATCAAAGTGGTAATTTCACTGTTTCAAACAGTGAAATTACCAGTTTTATATCACTGACAGGGCTCGAATTTAACTTTTTTGGCCACTAGCAATTTTTTGCTAGTGGACAAATTTTAACTAGCAAAAACTGAATTCAACTAGCACTTTTTACGACAATGATTTTTTAATTCCAAAATTTTTTAAACTTTTGTGTACATTCATTAATTGTTTGAATTATCATGTACCATAATAATTAATTCATTGTTGTTTCAATTATGTATCATGATAATGAATTTTATTGGAAATGTTTTTATTAATAAATGTTGTAGTACAACACATAAATTTACAGTAGTTTGTTATAACTTGAGTTCATTCAATTGTTGTATCTCAATTGTCATGTTGGAACAACTCAAAATAAAGAATAAAACTATCTTATATTTTAACTCACTGAAATAAATGATTAAATTAACATGATTGATATGAAAGATTTTTTTTTATTTCTGCATAAACAGCTGACTTAATCATGAAATTGGGCATGAAAAAAATTATAATACTTCATTTTTAAGTTTAATTATTTGATTTGCTGAAAGACAAAGTTGTTGCTGGATATAGAGAATAACAAAATTAAAATTGTAATTTATTTGGACGAGTTCGAACTGCCCGGGGTACGAATCAGCAACGTAACTTTCTACTCAAAAACTTGATTTAGGGGACAAGGATTCTTATCAAATGTCAATCTACCTGTAAAAAAATAATAATGCAATATTGTCGCCATACCGACGATGTCTAGTCTGGATTATGCGCACAACAATCGGTGCAAAATATTTTGGAAACATTTCCATCGTCATCGAGTTCATACGTTAAACTGAAGTGCAGTTCTTTCTCCCATTTTTTAACCGTTTTAACTGAAGGTCTGATTGTCTTTCTTTTGATAGACTGTGAATCATCTTCTGTACTCAGAGTATTGTTATCGGAAGACACATTTGCTTCAGTAAGTGGGAAGAAGTTCGTTATTTTTTGTTTAGACATTTTATTCCGATCACGCTTGATTTACATGGACAAAATGACATTTGGACTGGTTTAAATTTGTTTACGTTTTTAAGCGAGTTTAAGGTATAGAAAATGTAAACCAGACAGCAAGTGCGCGCATAGTTTATAACTCGGCTACCTGCGAATATTACGCCCGATTTTCCTGACGAGCGTATTCCGTTTTTTCTTCAACTCGCAAAAAATTGCGAGTAGTCATGAATCTAACTCGCAAAATCATTTTCCAACTAGCATTTTGCTAGTTTGCGAGTGTTAAATTCGAGCCCTGACTGATATATTTCTATAAACCACCGAAAAGCATGTAATAAACATGTATATCCAACATTATATTATCAACACACCTCCTTTAAACTTTTGAGATTTATTTAAATATTTTATAATGTGTTGTAATGCATATGTTGAACAATTATTAAGTTCAATGTTAAAACTCCATACAAATGGCATTGCATGCTACTTATTAATATATAACGATACACCAATAGTCCTTTGAAGATTAACTTTTTCCTCAATAAGTATTTCCCCTCTATGAACAACTATCAGACCATCTGACATAATTTGGGTGTACTATCTAGCTTGCTCTTAGAAATTAAGGAAATATATATGAGTCTAGGAAAATATTTGTTTATTTCTTGAGAAAATGTTATGTATGATTTCAAATGAAATAAAGATGGCAAACATTGGTAAAATATTAAATTCTAAAATTTTTACTTTGAATGTTCTGAAATGAAAAATTTTAATAGGATTCTATTTCCTTTTTACAGATATTGAAGACTTAACTCATAAGACAGGAAATTTTAAGCAGTTCAGTATATTTGTTAGTATGCTTGAATCAGGAATTATACAGGTAAGTGTATTTCAGTTTAAGTTCAAGAGAGGTGACTATTCAAAGAATAGGGAGAGCTGTTGTACTCACCTCAGCTTTGGCGTCACCGGTACACTTGACTTTGTTCAAGTTTTTGTGTGCAAGTTGGTATCTCCAAAAGTTGAAAAACTGGTACAATTTCTTTGTGATTATCTAACATGCTGAGCACATGTTCTATAAGTTAGTATAACTGAGTTACGTTTTTACAAAGTTATGCCCCTTTTCAGCACTGAGAATAGTCCAGTGATACATGTAGCTCTTGTTTTTTTCCTGGATTTCAAATTTATAAAATTATTGATATTCTCTATCTTCTGTTCTAAAACTGTGTTGATTGATAATTAATTTGAATATGGAGAAATATCTACATAAGATCATCTGATGTGTAGATGTTTTCACTGCACTCACCCTGTAAGTCATTTAACCTAAAGCAGTTTTGAAATTTTAATTACATCATGACTTAATTATCTTATTTCTTTGCAATTAACAATTTTATTATGTCAAAATATTTTCAGAAATCACTCTGGAAACAATTAATAAATATCTATTTCACAAAGTTTTTCAACCTCCAATGTTTCGAAACGTTTGAGGTTGATACACTTTTTGTAATAAAAATAGTATCTGTTGATTTGTTATTTTTCTTTTTAAACATGAACTTTGGCTTTTTATTTTTGACTGAACTTTACAACAGAGTAACAAATTTCAAAAAATTAAATTACGATTTAATCACAAATATATGTTACTGTTTTATTTGTTTGTTATTTTTTTCTATCCATTTTTAGGCCAGTGAGAGTGTTTCATTAGATTTACTAACATATGCTGACTTAGAATCATTAAGACAGAGGAAATCAGGAAGTGCTGGCAAATCAACATCAGTTCCTCAAAGGACTGTCTCCCTAAATTCTAAGAGATACCTCATTCTTACATATACAGTGGAATTTGATAGGTTTGTGTAACACTTATATTTGTTGAAGCTGTCAGCAATAAAAAATAAATGGCTTGATTTGTATTAAAATCAGTTAGACCACAATTAAATTTTCTTGTTTTATAAAGACAATTTTGTATATTTCTGAAAGAGGTATTTTATGCAGTGTAAGAAATTACGATTTGAATCGACTAGGCTGGTTGGACTACCAGATTAGAATATTCACTAGCCCAAAAGACATTTCATTAGCACGATTCATTTGTTCAAAACAGTTGTTTATATTGCCTCTGAAAATACAGTAGCCTGGTCGGGCTTGTTACTGTGAAAAGTTGGTAGCTCGAGGAGAAATTTAGTAGTCAGGGGCTATCAGACTACTGCTAATTTCAAACACTGTTTATGTCAGACATAAAAATAAAAGAACCAGGCATTCATTATAAAAAATCATAATTTTATGAAATGGCAACTATTTCAACTTGGATAATAGAAGAATGACTTCTTTAAATATTTCACTTTAATAGATACTTACATACAGGTGACACATGATGATTCTAGTTAGATGGTAGCCTATTTTTGAAATATTGCACAGAGGGTCATAAGGGATCCTCCAAATAATCATCGAAAGTCATTGTATAATACATGTAGTGTTGAATTTTATCAGAAATAGATTTTAAATTGAATTATTTCCTTTCTTTTTTACCAGAATACACTACCCTCTACCTCTACCATATGTTGGTAAACCAGACCCAAGACAGCTGCAGGAGCAGGTTAGAAACCTTAGAGCTGAAGTGAAGTCATTGAAACAACAGGTACATGCTCAGCCTCTACTAAACTATTGTATCACTGTACTCTATCAAATGTTATTTTCTAGTTTGCATTTGAGTTTGTACCTTTAGACATTTTTTGCTTTAATTTTTCTGCAGTTACAGTTGATTACTTTTTAGTCAGAATTTTTGCCAGTTGCTAGTTCTATCTGCATGAAACCAATTTTTATAGAATATGGCCTTATTTAAGTTTGTCAAGAAAAAAAACCCACATAATATTGTCTAGTTAATAATGATATTAAAGTCTTTATTTAAAGAGGCAAAACAAAACACAGTTGCCACAAAGGCAATCTACCTTTTGGGCCTCCTCATAGAGTGTTTTAACCAACAAAGACATTGTCCAGTTAAAGAAGTGTACAGTGTATTGACAAATATTTAGTGAAATTTTGTATGAAAATGTACATATGTTATACATGTCTTTTTTTAGGGGCCAACAGAAACCAAAGTTAAAGATGTTGAAAAGTTACGGAGAGAGTGAGTATTTCATAAATTATTTGGTTGTTTAAAAGCAGACAATGAGAATTGAATTTATTATTTTAAAAATGAGTGAGGGTCACAATTTTAAATAAGTCTTATGTGTGTTGTGATTTATGCTTAGATTATTTGATTTTAAGAGAGGGTTGAACATTAATGTCTCTGTTTTATATATCTATGTTTTTATCTTTTTTTTGTGATTTGACATTGTCAAGGTCAAATGGCCACTTTTTAGCTTTAAATTAAATCTACTTCAGAATGGAAGCCTTACAAAAAGAAAAGGAAGATATTGAGACAGAATTTTTACAGTTCAGACGTGAAATGAAAAATACAACACAGGGAAATGCTTTAAAAGAATTAAAAATGTTTAAAACTATGACACGACAGCTAGAAGAAGAATTAATGAAAGAGAAAACCAAGCATCAGAGGCAAGTCAGCAAACACAGCCAACAGTATAGAGATATTCTAGAAGAGGTTAATTTCTTTGTTTGCTGGTTTTTGTATTGTACAAGCTTTTAACACAATTGATACTATAAATAGTAGCACAATTGTTGGTAAATTCAACTGATTATTAATTAAGAGGTGTCTGTGGCTGAGTGGTAAAGGTTTTTGACTTCAAATTATTTGCCCATCACAACTGTGGGTTCAAATTTCGACAGGGACTTTTGATTCTTTCATGTGAAGAAGCTATCCAGCTAGCTTACTTAATGTTGGTGGTTCTTTTCAGGTGCCCATTTGTGCCTGGAATAATGAACGGTAGAGCACCTGAGGTCTCCCTCTTGGAAAGTAGCCTACACTATGTTGGTGCAACGTAAAAAAACAACAAAAAAAACACTGATTTGTAAACAATTATAAGCATGCAACACTGAATGTATAATGACTCTCAGACTGGTGGCCATTATTCATTTAGCAGACTGATTATCACATTCTGGCCCTATGCTGCTGTGTATTAAGCTCTATGTAACAGTATTTTGATCTGTCAGTCATATACCAACTTGTAATTTTCTAATGAGCGTTCTTGGTTTAAGCTTGATTGCGAAACAAGTTCTTGCCACTTATATTAATCACTTTCAAGTCCGCTTCCTGGAACCAACCAGTACTGGTGTCATATGGAGAAACATGGTCGTGACCTGAGTAGGGTTTGAACCCATGATCTCTGGGTTGAGAGGCAGATACCTTAACCACTAGGCCACCGCTCCCCTTAATGAGCGTTCTGTAATTTTTACCAGTACTAACCTGCTACCAAACTTCTGTTTATTGTTCAATTGAACCAGTATGAATGGTGTCAAGTATTGAACATGATGTGCTCTGATGATACTTGTGTTTGGATTAAGATTAATCATTATCTTTGATGCAAATGTTTGATGGCTACTGTATTTAGAAAAAAAGAAAGAAAACAAGTTGGCCCATCAGGGGTTTGAACCCAAAGCTCTCGGTTTCAATTCAGTTGACAGCATTTGTAGCCTGTTTAAATACTCTTCAAAATGTAGGTAATTCATTAGATGGTCATACCTTTGCATGGAAGATACTAAGCAAACAGTTAATTTTGCGAAAAATCTATAACAGAAAAAATTAATCCCTTGAAAATTTTTCTGATTTTACAGTGATCTTGTGTAAAATTTTGACTTCATTGTTCAATCATTGCAGCTTGAAGAAATAAGAGCATCAGAGAGAAATCTTAAAATAAGAGTTAAAAGTTTAACAAATGAGTTAGCTTTGTATAAAAGGTATGTGGGTTTTAAAATTTTATTCAATTGTTTATTTTTAATAACTTTGAAATTCTTGTACAGGTTGTAAAATGCTAATTTTCTTTGTTCAACAACAAAACAAAACGCCAGTCACATTCCTTTTGTTATCTTGTTCTTGTATTTCTTTTTATTCTGCCTGCTTTTATACTGAAAATACAAAGCCTAAGAGTTTAGAAGTGTTTTCAATATTTTAAAATTGCTGTCCTGTTAAATCAAACTAATGCTATATCTCAAGTGATTCGGGTATTCACACCAAAAATTGTTGATAATACAATGTACTTTAAAATCTTCATGTTGCCATTTAGAAAATGTGTATGCCAGTTGGTATTTTCGGAATTCATTTTAGAAAGAAAAAGAGAAATAAAAAACGTAAAACCATATGTTGTCAGATGTCTTACCATTCATTAAATTTGCAGATATGATATACTGTCTTTTAATTTAATGAAAATGAATGTATATGTAGGGATAAAGTTCACTCATCAAGAAAACCAAGGCCATACAGTCGAGAGAGGACCAGTTCATATGATAGACTATCATCTAGGGATGGGTCATTATCTCGAGACAGGGAGAGGTCATTATCACGTGACCGGTCGTGGTCAGATAGACTGTCGTCTGCTCGAGACAGATCTAAAGACAGGTCACGCGATGGGTCACTGGAGCGCCCCTCGTCAACGAACAGAAGTAGGTTAAGTGACAGGAATAATAATTATAAAAATAGTTATTCACACAGAAGTCGGACTCCATCTCCTGCCCCCGCTGGTCCTAGAAGTTCAAGGTTTGATCCTTCGGCATATGTAAAAGAAAAAGAACGCAAAAAGAAAGAGGCACTTTCAAAAAAGTAAGTTTATTAGTGACCTTCTTTCATTATATTTGTTAATGGTTTTGTATGATAACACTAGTACTACTTGTGTAACGAAGACATTAAATAATTGGTTTGAAATTAAATACAGTGCTACAGCTAACATTTTTGATTAAAACCTTGAATTGAGTGCATAGAACAATTCATTTATTCTGTTAACTCATTACTACAAAGTTCAAAATTCAATTTATACTAGCACTTTATCTTACTATACACATTCAGTGGGCAGTGGGCAAAGGTTTTAAGACTTGCATTCTCAAATAGATACAATAGTGAGAAACAAATGTTCTTTAATTCATTGGAAATTGAAACTTGTACCCACTGTTGACTGATTGTGTGTAACATAATAAAGTGTCAGAATAGTACTATACTTATCCAGCAATGAATTTTTGACATTTTAGAATTACATATTCCAATATCACATGTTGTAAAGGCCAGGTTTTATGCTTTAGGCAAAGATCTGTCATTTTGGATCACACTGCTAGAATTTAAACTATTAACATTATTACTTCAGAAAAAGACAGCAGAGAGCAAATGTATCAGGAACCTCAGTTTTATCAAATAAACCATCACCGGGGACCAGACTGGTTCACAGTAGATTATCAGGTTAGTACAAACATTAAACCACACTGTGTTTTATTATGCCCTGATAAGGAATTTGCCATTGTCCATTATGCTCTTTGTCTGTAGACTGACAAAACAGTGGAATGTTGGAGCATCTGTGTCATACATTTCTAGTTATTCATTATGTGTAGAAAATGATAAGTTGTTTCTTTTGGGCTTTTAGGAAAAAGGGAGCTAGGAATTTTTACTTCACAATGGGGAAAAAACATTTTGGCATTGGGATGCCTTCATTAAAACTTAAAAAGGCGAAAAAATAAGCATTGTAATAAAAGTTGTAGAAATGCCATACTTATTTGGTATTAGATTATTATAATGTTTTTTTTTTTCTTAGAAATAAGACAAAACAAGTGAAAGAGTGTTTGTATAGTGTTCCACTTTATCTTTTTTTAATATTATGCCCCCGGGCATATAGTTATTGAACAGTCCGTCTGTCCGTACGAGGTTAACCTAGAACGGCAAGTTGGATTTTTCTTAAGTTCTACCTGTACCAATGGCTTCTTAGTTTACACACTTACTAATCAATACAAAGTACATGATCTGGTCAAGTTACTTAACTATGGCTTCTATATTCACCAAGTTATTGCCCTTTTCAGCACTTAGAAAATGAATAATGGTTAACCTAAAACGGCAAGTTGGAAATATCTTAAGTTCTATCTATACTAATGGCTTCATAATTTCCACATTTATTTATCAATACAAAGTACATGATATTGCCAAGTTATATAAATGTGTCATCCATATTTCCCAGTTATTTCCCTTTTTTCACTTTGAAAATAGGGCCTTGTCTGGTTAACCTATTCGGGCAAGTTGGATTTATCGTAAATTTCTCTTAATTGCTTAATTTATTTAATGATATCTTGCATATTTGGTAGGTGGATACCTTTAATGGTCCTCTAATTTTTGTGGAGTAAGTGGTCTCTAGGGTCAAAGTCAAGGTCACTGGTTTAGAAAATAAATTTAAACATTTTTGCTCATACAGCCTTTATTTTTTGGGTGATGTCTTTCATGTTTAATACAAACATGCCAAGGGAGGTCCTCCTTCTTTGGGTATAGTAAGGGGTCATTTGGGTCAAGGTCACCAATGTTAAAAATAGATTTTTACATTTTTACAGGTGTATTAACCATATTCTATAGACACATGTCATTTATAATTGATAGGAACATAAAATTTGATGGAGTTAGTGGTCAGTTAGGTCAAGGTCACCAGTGCTAAAAATAGATTTTTACACTTTTGCTCATACAGCCTTTATTTATTGACAGATATATTTCATATTTGGTAGGAAGATGACTTGCATGGTATTCATCCTTTTGATTGGGGTAGGGATGAGTGGGTCAAGGTCACTTGTGCTAAAAATAGATTTTTACACTTTTGCCCATACAGGCTTTATTTATTGACAGGTGTATTTCATATTTGATAGGAAGATAACTTGCATGGTATTCTTCCTTTTGATTGAGTTAGGGATCAGTGTGTCAAGGTCACTAGTGCTAAAAATAGATTTTTACACTTTTGCCCATATAGCCTTAATTTATTGACAGATATATTTCATATTTGGTAGGAAGATAACTTGCATGTTATTCTTACTTTGGATGGAGTTAGGGGTCAGTTGGGTCAAGGTCACAATTGCTAAAAATAGATTTTTACACTTTTGCCCATACAGCCTTTATTTATTGACAGATTTATTTCATATTTGGTTGGAAGATAACTTGCATGGTATTCTTCCTTTGGATGGAGTTAGGGGTCAGTTTGGTCAAGGTCATTAATGCTCAAAATAGATTTTAACATTTTTGCCCATACAGCCTTTATTTATTGACAGGTGTATTTCATATTTGGTAGGAAGATAACTTGCATGATATTCTATAGGTGTCAGTGGGTCAAGGTTAAGTGTGCCAAGTATAGATTTCTTACATTTATATATATTTGATAAAGTTGAATATTTATCATTGTCATAGCAATGACTTGGCAACTTACATATTTCACAATTACAAAATGCCATGACTCTTGTCAAGCTATATAACTTGTGTTTACAATTTTTTGGCAATGTTTCTGTCCATAACTGAGTGAATGGGTAAACAGTTTTTGAAATATTGCTACTGACAAGAATCGGAGCCGGGGGCATTTGTTTTTAACAAACACGTTCTTGTTATTTTTTTTTTATTTCAACAGCAAACAGTAGAAATCGTTCAAGAAATACTTCATGTAAGTAGTTTAATTGTTTGTCATTGTTAATTATGATAAGTAGCCTCTCCTTGAGAAGTGCTTATGTGAATGATATGATAATGTAAGGCTATCTGTGCCAGATAAAAAAATGTTTATAAGTTATCCATGAAAAGTAGATTGAAAAACCAGTATTAGATGATGATATAGATTCTCAACTTGTAAAATTTTGTATAGGATAAAACATGTCATTGTTTTTTGACACCTGATAGTTTATTTGAGATAAGAACCCTGTATACTAATGCTCCAGAGTTATGTACAGTACTGGAAGAATAAGAATGTTTAAAAATTCTTTGATATCTCTTCAGTTACAGATAAATGATGGATTAATTCTTTTATAATTCTAGATGGAAGTCAAGGTGAGATCAGCGATGGTGGAATGTCAGATTCTTCATATGCAAGTCTCAGGTATATATCATAATATTATATCTATATACATCAACATGTAAGCATTTCATTCATTAATTTTAAGGCTGTGATTATGATGGGCAATTGAAATTTTCATTCCCACTTTGGCACCCAGTAATTTTTTCCTTACACATTGTATTTGCAAAGAGGAAGGTTTTATTTATATAAGCGTTTGATGTACATTATATGTAATTGAAACATCTGTTTGATGTACATGGTACTTGAACTTTGAAAACTTCTTATGACTGTTGAATTTTTTTTTTATAGAGATATTACTCTCATGTTTACTACATCTTGTAACAAATAACAAAAGTTAATCGTGAGAGTGCAGTATAATATCTGTTACCAAGATTGTATAGCTAAAACTGGCAAAACATTCTATAAGAATTTCAAAACCTTTACAACTATGTGGTTTTCGTACTCTTGTGACCATATCTGGAGTAAAACTTTTATAATTAGAAAACAGAATGAAACATTCCCAAACAAAATATTCTACCAATATTTCAAGTAGGTTTAACGGTGGTTTCCCGCATGCACTACCCATTTGTTTAGGAATTTACAAACATCATTCTGTTCATTTTAGGTACTTTGTTTTAACTCAAGATTCTCAAAGATTTTCCACCCATTGCAAAGAGCCAATAATGCTTTATAACCTTTAACTGACATTCATATTGCTGACAAATACTTCAGCAATAATTTACTATTTCAGGAACTACAACAGAAGTAGGTCAAGTAGACCAAGGTCACGGTCACGTCAAAATGAAAGAAGTGCCTTGTCGTCTGCATATTTATCTAGTCCAGAGGTGGTAAGTTGTCCATATAGCGTTCCTATATGCTTATCAGGGCTTCCATTTAGTTCCAAAATTCAAAATTTGGAAGTCAGAGACTGCAAAATCTCTGACAAAAGTAGGTAACGAAGGAAAAGCATTGCATTTAATAGACGTCACAAACCAAACTCAAGGAGTGAATGACTCTCAAACTTCCATTATTGGAAGCCCTGATTATAATGCCTTATTTTGGTTGTAATTTCTTACATTTTGTTGCATTTTCATCTATGTCTTTATTTCCCTTTTTTTGGATTTAGCCTTTCTTTAAAAAATGAAAAATGTATCCCAAAGACTATCAGTTTCTTACTTAAAAAATACTGATATTTTTATTTCACATTTAAGGGTTTTTTAAACCCTTTAGGAAAATAAAGAGGGTGGCCATTTTAATTTTAAAAAAAAAACTCAAATTTCCCGTTGATAGCTTTCAGACACAGTTTAAATATACATTTTTATATGAAATTCTTTTTTCTTCAATTTTAGCCAAAAAAACGGAGAGGGAAAACCAAAGAAAAGCAAGATATTTTCCTTTTTTTTTTCAGTGAATTTTATGTGAATTTAAATTAGATGACGGGTTTTTATTTGAAAAAAGTTACCCGCTCTGAAAAAGGGGTTTATGAAATTTAAATTTTGAATTTAAAAAGCAAGTTTTATAATAGTTTATGCATTATAATGATCAAATTGTTTCTTGGTTTTCTCAGTCTAACAGAAATTAATGTCCACAAAAATCCTATGATTTCAACAGTTTTATATATTGAATTGATATTTTTCATGGAATTATCATTTTAGAAGTAATTGATTGATTGTGGTTCCTTCAGGGTATTTAATGTGGTTCTTTCAGAGTATTTAATATGGTTCTTTCAGGTTATTTAAAATAATGTATGGAAGGGCATCTTTGTCTTCCTTCAACAGTGAAAGTTATGAAATATTGCTGTATTTAATTTGCAGAACAAGATTGCATTTGAGAAAAATGCTATGCCACCGCATTAATACAACACTAAATAGTAGTGTAGGAACAGATTTTCTTTGTTTCTATACAATTTTGAAGATTGTCATAATGCATAGATCCCTGACCTATCTAATTCTTATTATCAGATTAGTGGTTAAATCTGTTGTTAACTCAATAAAAGATCAGAGTAGGAATATATCAATGCACTTGAGTCTAGTGAATTTGGTGGTGAAGGTCATATTTCACACAGCCTAAATTTCATGACTACATCAAAGGACAACATAGTAAGACACTTTGTCAAAATCTAGGTCAGCTGAAATCAAACTTAACATCTTAATCTGTACACATGGTTCAAATTTCATAGCTGTACATCAAAGGACAAGAAAGTAGGTCACATCATCAAAATCTAGTTCACCTGATATCAAAGTTCAATTTTACAACTAAAACTGTGCACATGGTCAAAATTTCATTGCTGTACATTAAAGGACAAGAAAGTAGGTCACTGTCCCCTTGGGCAAGGCAACATTTTGGACCCAAGGGTTTAATTCAAAACAATCTTGATACAGGTCCACCAAACATTATTTCCAGTCAAATATCTAAGCTGTAGCTTTCTCCTATTCAGAAAAGATTTGTTTTATTTTCTGTTTTTACTATGTGAACATAATGAGAATCACTGCCCCTGGGCAGGGCCAATTTTAACACTAGGGGCATAATTAAAACAACTTTAGTAGAGAACCCATAGAATATATTATAGAGCAAAACATCAAAGCTCTATGCCTTGTACCTTCAGACAAAAATATTTCTTTTTTTTTTTTTACTATATGTACATAGTAAAAATCAATGACTCCTGGGGGTGGGGCCAATTTTGACCCAGGGCTATAATGTGTACAATCTTGCTAGAGGTTCACTACATAATGTTTCATGCAAAATATCTTAACTCTAGCCTTTGTAAATTTAGAGAAGGTGATTTTTTAAGTTTTTACTATATACATATAAGGAAAACCTATGGCCCATGGGGCGGGGCTAATTTTGACACAAGAGGCAAAATTTGAACAACTTTGGTAGAGTACCTATAGATGATATCATTTAACAAATATTCAAGCTCTAAGCCTTGAACCTTCAGACAATAAGATTTTTTTATTTTTAGCTCGACTTTTCTATGAAAAGGGGAGCTATCCTACTCGCCCCGGCGTCGGCGTCGGCGTAGCGTTAGCGTTGGCGTCACACCTTGGTTAAGTTTTTCGTACCACCCCACTTTATTTCAGAAGTATTACAAGTATGGCTTTGAAACTTACCATACTTGTTCACCATCATAACCTCCATCTACAGACAAGAGTACATAACTCTGTCAAGGTTTTTGACAGAATTATGGCCCTTTTTTGACTTAGAAAGTGTATTGAGCTTGGTTAAGTTTTTTGTACCACCTCACTTTATTTCAAAACCATTGGAGGTATTGCTTTTGAAACTGACCATACTTGTTTACCATCACGACCTTCATCAACAGACAAGAGGACATAACTCTGTCAAGGTTTTTGACAGAAATTATGCCCCTTTTTGACTTAGAAAATACATTGAATATGGGTAAAATCCACTTATTGCCTTAACCCTTTGAGATATTGCTTTGAAACTTTTAATGCTATTTCACATCATTACCCCCATCTGTACGCAAGAGAAGGTAACTCTGTCAAGGATTTGTTTTAAAAATTAAGGCCTTTTATCGACTTAGAATCTTGGTTAAGTTTTTGTACCACCTCACTTTATTTCAAAACCATTGGAGGTATTGCTTTGAAACTGACCATACTTGTTTACCATCACGACCTTCATCAACAGACAAGAGGACATAACTCTGTCAAGGTTTTTGACAGAATTATGCCCCTTTTTGACTTAGAAAATACATTGAATATGGGTAAAATCCACTTATTGCCTTAACCCTTTGAGATATTTGCTTTGAAACTTTTAATGCTATTTCACATCATTACCCCCATCTGTACGCAAGAGAAGGTAACTCTGTCAAGGATTTGTTTTAAAAATTAAGGCCTTTTATCGACTTAGAATCTTGGTTAAGTTTTTAGTACCAGTCCACTTTTTGACTGAACTGTTTGAGATATTAATTTGAAAGTTGGAATACTTGTTTACAATCATGATTCCCAAACATGTCCAGGAGAAGGTAATTCTGTCAAAGATTTTATTTGAATTATGGCCCTTAACTGTCAATGTTTTGTATTATAGGCAAGCACTAAAAAAGTCGAGCGCGCTGTCTTACGGACAGCTCTTGTTTACTATATGTTACATGTATATATTGAAAATCAATGACCCGGGGCAGGGGCAATTTTGACCCCAGGGCTATAATTTGAACAATCTTGCTAGAAGTTCACTTCACAATGTTTCATGCAAAATATCTAACCTCTAGCATTTGCTAGAAGAAATTTTTTTACTATAAAGTTTTTTCTATATACATATAAGGAAAACCAATGACCCCAGGGGCAGGGCCGATTTTGACCCCAGGGCTATAATTTGAACAATCTGAGTAGAGGTCTACCAGACAATGCATTATGCAAAATATCTAAGCTCTAGGCCTTTTGGGTCTTTACAAGAAGTTATTTTAAGTTTTTACAATATGTACATATAGTGAAAATCAATGACCCCCGGGGCGGGGCCGATTTTGACCCCAGGGTTATTATTTGAATAATCTTGGTAGAGGTCTACCAGACAATGCCTTATGCAAAATATCTTAGCTCTAGGCCTTTTGGGTCATTACAAGAAGTTATTTTAAGTTTTTACTATATGTACATATAGTGAAAATCAATGACCCCCGGGGCGGGGCCGATTTTGACCCCAGGGTTATAATTTGAACAATCTTGGTAGAGGTCTACCAGACAATGCCTTATGCAAAATATCTAAGCTCTAGGCCTTTTGGGTCTTTACAAGAAGATTTTTTAAATTTATTCTTATAATTCCTTTTGGTTGCCATGGCAACCAGATTTCTGCATGGAATGAAATTCTTTGAACAACTTTGGAAGCCCTTCACCCAAGGATCAATCCTGCCAAGTTTGGTTGAAATTGGACAAGTGGTTTTTCACAAGAAGATTTTTTAAGTTCACTATATAATCTATATAACACACACACACACAAACACAATCTTTTATTTTTGAAAGAATAAACTAATAAACAGCCGTAAAAGACTGGCAATATTTGTATGATGTTAATGAAAGAATTCATACTGCATGATTTTATACCTTAACATTACATACATTGGCCAGTACACCAGATTCTGAACGTGGAAGAACAAGATCTGTTAGAAACAAAGAAAATATACCAGATAGCAATGGTAAGATTATGATTTTAATATAACCATCTCTTCTTCTGCAGTCATCCCTGTCTAAAATCATTTTCCTTAAAATGATGAAAAATGGTCTTAATACTTTGTCCCTTTAAACAAGTGTGTTTGAGAGTAGCACTATTTAAATTCATATTGCTGGCTGAATAGACTGAATAAAGAATTTTTTAGGTTTTACCATCTTATCCTGGGGTAAAAACAAACTTTTACAGTTACAGCTTCGAAAATAAACGCAACAGATTGACTTATCTGTTGTGACCAGTAGAGCACCGTGAAGCTATAATGGTAAAAGTTTGTTTTTACATTGAATTAGCATGGAAAACACATTTGCCAAGTTCCGGATAACATCTATTGAAATTGATGTGGCTTTACTAGCTCTTATCCTGTAAGCTGTGACTGAATCTTTGTATCCACCAATACAGACCAAGTACAACATACACATCTGTACTGTCTGATCAGAGTCTGCACTGTTTGCTATTCAGCAAGTAAATATTTCGAATTTTTCTCCAAAAAATGATAAATAGTTTTGTCCAGTTTGGAAGATGGAAAAGTCCATTTAAGATACTTGGCATGGTAATGGTTAATTAAGAAGAGCATTGGAATAATGAATGTATGGTATGTGCTGAGAATCAATCAATCAATAAATTAATCAATCAATCAGAATTGAAAATTTGTTTCTTTTTATATAATTTTAGGTCTGTTGTACCGGTAACCATGCTACATTTTGTAAGCTTTTAATTCTTATATAAATGAATAGGCTGAATGAATGGTTCTGAATCAAATTTAAATTATTCATATGACTTCATTTTGTATTTTTTTGACAATCTGTTTGCAGGTTATGACAGCGATTATTTTGATAGATCTGCAGAGATTTCAGAAATTGATGAGAGATTGAACAGATTACAACAGCTAATGAAAACCAGTATGACCTGAGTCAAAATCTGTGATAGATAAAAATATACATATTTATTTAGTGATACTAGAATGGGGCACAGTTTTCATCTCATAGTGATTCTAGAAAATTTGAGCCGTGTCACGACAAAATCAACATAGTGGGTTTGCGGTGAGCATGGATCTAGACCAGCCTGCCCATCCGCGCAGTCTGATCAGGATCCATACTGTTTGCTATCAGTTTCTCTACATGTAATAGGGTTTGTAAGCGAACAGCATGGATCCTGATCAGACTGTACGGATGCACAGGCTGGTCTGGATCCATGCTGGTCGCAAACGCACTATGTTGGTTTTGTCGTGACGCGGCTCAAATGATGCCTGGTGTGGAACCATGGATGTTCCAAGTTATATTGAAAGGGAAAATGTTCATAAATCAGTATACACATTTATTTAAATTTTCAGATTTCTGCTGAAAAAATGAAATAAGCAAATTTATTTTGTGTACCAATCATTCATAAGGGTATTCCTCCAAATGTGCTGAAATATTAAATAACAAAGTGTAAAATGTTTCAAAATCAACTTAATGCTTGTGCTGAGAAAAAAAAATCTGTCATGCAATGTGTTTGAATCATGTAGTTTAAAGTTCACATATTGGAGGATATTTTGTATTTGAAATATTCAGATATTTGTCAAAGGATGCAGTGTGAATCATTTACGTGTTTCTTGATAGTAAAATTTGATTATTTCAGAAAAATTGTCATTTAGTAATTCAGTTTTTGTCTGTGAATTCTCAAAGAAAATAGTATAGTGTGACTTTTCCATTATACTGTACTGTAAGGTAGTAAACAGCAGTTATTTAACTTATTTATAAATCCCTGAAACTTCTAATTGATAGTTTTAAATTCAAATCAAGCATTTAAATAATATAGAATTTTGCAGGGTAAAGGTAAAAAATAAGTAGATACAATAGTTTTATGTAGAGGTAACCATTAAGAAAGTAAGTGATTCTGTACATTACAATGATAACGTTTTCCTACTTTTATTACAAATTATTTTACATTTGATTCTACTTTCCGTATGTGATGCATCTAACATGCTCTAAATCCATTATCTTATTAAACATTTTTCTAAATTAATGTGCATGTAAACAAAGAACGCTGTGGAAATCGAGGTACTGCATACTAATTAGCTGCTGATGTAGGTCCTACTTTGTTGATACTATATAAACTTCAATTTGCCATTTCTTTTAAGGAAAACTTTTATACATTCTTGAGGCTTTATGTGGTTTTAAACTGACCAGGAAAACTATTACATGAGGAAAATAAATATGGAGAATATTAAGTAGCAACTTTGTGTCACTTTTGTTTAGAATATATGATACTTATGTCTGACCTCTTTTATTAATCTGTATCAGTTAGTAATGAAATAAGTTGAAGCATGAAATGAAATTTATTGTTGGGAACTAGGTTTAGTTAGATGTTTAAATAATATCTAGTAAAAAATTTGTAATGTATAAAGTCGGCAAGAATTTATAGTTTTATATTGTTATATATACATGTACCTAGGCATATGTTAGTTGAAAACTCATCATAAATCATTCTGAAACTATTTATCACAGTTGATAGTGGCTCAGATGAATACAAATTTTTTTTATATTTTTTTTACAAATAAGTATGTTTATCCTATTTTCATACTCCATAACAAAAAAAATTAACCGAATATTGATTTTCGGCACTACTGATAATTCTGTTTAAATTGTACAACTTTGGGCATCAATTAAAACCAAACTGTTATCATAATTGCTTCAGATATATTCATAATTATTACGAAAAAGATGAAAAGTAGACTTGGTGAAAGTACGTACATATACATGTAGTATATATATGTTTAGATTTAACTCATTTTTTTGCCTCTGATACTGATAAAATTATTAATAATTAATTAATTATTTAACCTATGATGCAATGAATAAAACAATTAAGAAATGTGCAAGGTGTGGCATTTTACAAAAAAAGAAAAAATAGCTCTGCTGTTTTGAATATGAATTATGTTTTTATTGTACTTGTGTTTTATTTCTTCTTTAAAGCATGTTCTTTTAGTTTACACAGATTGTTTCCTATGTACAGTTACAAAGTCTTTTATTTATGAAATATTAAATTTGTAGAATGAGTTTTGTGTTAGTTCTTGTGATTATGGTTTTGAACTTATTTGACGTAAGGACACCATTATGAACTATTGTTTGATAATGTTATTGTCAATTATTTCTTAATAGGAAAGAACAAAATCAGCATTTATCATAGTAATGGAAATCATACACAAGTCCCCTACCAGTTAGAACCCCAGTAGCATTAACAAGGGCCATGGCCATTCAATTATGCCATTGTTGAAGATTTAAATGAACTAAACTTTTGCATTCTTAGTTTGTCAGTTATATCATAGTAATGAGTTAAGTTTCCCTGCCTAGTAAGGGACTGACAGACACACAGACGGATGAAGGGTATACCTAAAGTCCTCTCAAGTTAAACCAGTGGGGGACTATAAATAACATACTAGTATAATAATAGGTATGTCTGAATTTTTGTGATGAAATACACCAAATTATATTAGCTTATGATAGATTCATTGTATAAAATCATTACATGTGGGAATGTTTACTTCAAATTCATGAACATTACAAGTGTGCTGTCCCAGTATCAATAAATCAATACTACAACCAAACTTACTAGTGGCATCCCACACAGTTGTTAAAATACTAGTACATCATGTGACATGAGGCAATACTTGGGTAAATACACCCAAGTGTCTAAGATAGTCATGACCTAAGTAGTGTTTCATACATTTGAAAAAGTTGATTCATGCATTACGAAATTCCTATACCTCTTCCTTATGCAAAGAGACTCATGTTCTTTGGTCATACTGAAACAAACCCAAGTGGTTGACATCATTTCCTTTGTAAAAGTATCTCTAAAGTAGATACATTGTATATTGATAAAAAAAAAAAATATAATCGTAATCAATATAGATTTGTTGTGAAATGTAAATCTACTTTAAATCTGCTTGCTTGACCTGTTGTATCATGACTGAAGAGTCGGGGCCACTGATCCTGGAGTTTAGCTGCAGATATCATAAAGGTCACTCGTTTCAATTTGCCATCATACTGAAATTAACAGAAAAAAGATACACATATGGTCTTTCTATTTGATACTGACAAAAATACTAATTTCAAAGCTCTTTTACTTGTTAATATATGACTTAAAAGTGATAAAGCACATGCTCTGTAAGCTTGTCACAGGTTTGATACTAATCAAAATAATTATATTACCTTCTAAATTCCTAATGGATTTGCCTTGTTTTACAGGATTTCAATAACAAAATACAACTGTCTTGCCCTGGCAAAGCTACCCCTGATTCCCACTTTGTCTGTAGGATATTAATAAGAAGTTTCATTTTGATACATTATATTGACTTTAGATAATTTTTATGCTTCGAATAAATTGACACCTCCAATACTTGTTTGAGAAACAGTAAGCACGGAAAATTACTAAGGGCAATAACTAAAAAATTATGTATAAAAAGTAATGGTTCCTGGGCACTAGGCTTCTCCTCAATGAGATCTATCCAGCTAGGAAGTTTTGAATTGATATACCTCTAATAGTGTTTAGGTTTTGCCCAAAACAAACTGAAGGATCACCAGATAAACCAAGCTGGTTCCTGTATACCCAAATCGCATGTTCTTTGTGTAGTTTGGGGGTATAAAAATTGCTACCGACAGTTATGAGTCTGATCTTAAAGCACAGGTGTGCCAGCTTGTTCTGGCTCTATACTGCTGGCAATGCAGCACAGGTGTGCAGAATAGCCCTGGCTCTATACTGCTGGCAATACAGCACAGGTGTGCAGCTATACTGGTGACAATGCAGCAAAGGTGTGGAGGCTAGCCCTGGATCTATACTTAAGGCAATACAGCACAGGCCTGCATGCTAGCCCTGGATCTACACTGGTGGCAAACAGCACAGTTGTGCATGCCCTTTCTCTATACAGCTAACAATGCAGCACAGATGTGCAGGTGGCCCTGCTCTATACTGTTGGCATTACTGCACAAGTGTGCAGGCTGGCCCTGACTCTATACTGGTGACAATACAGCACAGGTGTGCAGACTGGCCCTGACTCTATACTGGTGACAATACAGCACAGGTGTGCAGGCTGGCCCTGGCTCTATACTGGTGGCAATACAGCACAAGTGTGCAGGCTGGCCCTGGCTTTATACTGGTGGCAATACAACACAAGTGTGCAGGCTGGCCCTGGCTCTATACTTGTGGCAATACAGCACAGGTGTGCAGACTGGCCCTGGCTTTATACTGGTGGCAATACAGCACAAGTGTGCAGGCTGGCCCTGGCTCTATACTGGTGGCAATACAGCACAAGTGTGCAGGCTGGCCCTGGCTTTATACTGGTCAGTGGTGACAATACAGCACAGGTGTGCAGGCTGGCCCTGACTCTATACTGGTGGCAATACAGCACAAGTGTGCAGGCTGGCCCTGACTTTATACTGGTGACAATACAGCACAGGTGTACAGGTTGGCCCTGGCTTTAAAGTGTTGACAATACAGCACAGGTATGCAGGCTGGCCCTGGCTCTATACTGGTGACAATACAGCACAGGTGTGCAGGCTGGCCCTGACTTTATACTGGTGACAATACAGCACAGGTGTGCAGGTTGGCCCTGGCTTTAAAGTGGTGACAATACAGCACAGGTATGCAGGCTGGCCCTGGCTCTATACTGGTGGCAATACAGCACAGGTGTGCAGGCTGGCCCTGGCTCTATAGTGGTGACAATACAGCAGAAATGTGTACTCTATACTAGTGGCAGAGACTTATCACTTTTACAGGCGAAATTGATACTGTTACCTCTTTGTTGCTTGGCACATGGCATTTATGTGATAGTTCTAGTGTTGTTTTTTTTTTGGTTTTGCATCGCATATGGAACCTTCCAGCTTTACTGGTGTAACTATACATGTATAGTGTGGTGTCCTAGTGGAACAGCAGTATCTGGCAGTGATTTTTTTTTTCTCTGTTCTTCTTGAAATGGGAAATTTTAGCCTTTGTGGCAATAATAAAATTGGAAAAAATTAACAAAACTGTGACAGCATTCTTTTTTTCTCATATGATAATATAAATACATGGTAATTCTATAGCAAAATTGTTGTTTTAATTGAAAAAAGTGATATTCCTTACAACATTGGTAGGTTCATTTAGTCTTCACATTTTTTTTTTCTTCAAAATTTTGTCAGTTTGAAGCCTTTATTTTATGGAAAAAAATCACTGAAATTAAAGCATAAAATGCCATTATTCAAATAGTAATTGTAGGTTCCTAACCTTATATTCTGTATTAAAGGTTAATTTTTTAAACTATCCAGCTGGTGGCCCGGTGGCATAAAACTGTCTAATTTCTGAGCCCCGATATGTCAGTGGCAGTATAAAATGACAGGGTGATCTGTCAATTTTTTGGACATTATCTCGCACTATTCAATGCCACAGATCTAGACAGTTGGAAAGTGTGCTCATTTTACAAAATGCCGACACGGTCAACCTATATTAATCAACAAAGTACAATCAAAGGAGTGCCAGAAAAAGTACAATCAAAGGAGTGCCAGAATTTAGCAACTTGTTTGGAATAAAACTGTAGGAAATGAGCAGGAAATGATTAAAAATTAATTCATATATTCAATATTTGCATGTTGACATTTCTACAAGTGGAAAATCAACAACTGTCAATTAAAGCAATCAATAAACAGTCTCCAGTCTAATGGAAATTACACCATAGAATATACATGTATATATGTATATATATCAGATTATCATTCAGAATAAAGGAAAAATGTGATGGGCTCATTTTTTATGTACAAATATACTATACTATTATGACTTGAGAGTTGGTGACCAAGGAAGTAATGATTTTTGATATGATATAATGTCAATACAAATAATAGAAAATAACACTTTCTTTGATTTATAAACAAACATCAGCGTCAGTTAACCTTTTTTGGTTAAGTTTTTGTATATGGTCATTAAATTCAATACCAACAGAGCTGCATGTATCATTTGGAAACTCAATGTTGATGCACCATGTACAGATCTGGTCAAGGTCAATGAAACCTCCATGTGTAAATACCCGCCATACTCCTGGAGGTTTCATTGTTACCTTTAATCATTTTTGTTTGTGTTTTTGTTAAATTGTCAACAACATCAAATTTGATATGTGGAAGCATCTTCACAAGTTCTGCTTTGAGCCAAAGGTCAAGGTGTCTTTTTATTCAAATTATCTCTGTACATAGTAAATGTATAGTTTACTATTGTTTCTCCTCAGACAGCTCTTGTTATACTTGTGTATTGTGTAATTGCCAATACATTTAATACTGGGAGAGCAATGAAACTTGCTAATAATACACACACCTTGATATTTTGTCACATATTTATTGGAAATGAGCTGAGTTAGGGCCCTTGTGTTAGCAAACAAGAGGGCCATGATGGCCCTGAAGTCGCTCACCTGTATATAGGCCCCCGGAGCGGAGCCAGTTTAAACCCCAGGGCTTTTATTGGAAAAAACTTGGTAGACACCCATTAGAAGATATGTCATGCTTAACATCTAAGGTCTAGCTGGTCAAGTTTTTTTCTTTACACATACAGTTAAAAACAATGACACACCTGGGGCAGGGCCAGTTTTGACCAAAGGGCTTTTATTTGAACAATCTTTGTAGACACTTACTAGAAAATGTTTCATGCTTAATATCTAAACTCTAGCTATTCGGGTTTTTTCAAAGAAGATTTTTAAGTTTTTGCTATACACATATAAGGAAAAGGAATGACCCCCGGGGCCAATTTTGACCCCAGGGCTCTTATTTGAACAAACTTGGTAGACATCCATTAGAACATGTTTCATGCTAAATATCTTAGATCTAGCTCTTTGGGTTCTTTAAAAGAAGATTTTTTAAGTTTTTACTATATGCATATAGGGAAAATCAATGACCCCCTGGGGAGGAGCCAATTTTGACCCCAGGGCTTTTATTTGAACAAACTTGGTAGACACCCATTAGAAGCTGTTTCATGCTAAATATCTTAGCTCTAGCTCTTTGGGTTCTTTAAAAGAAGATTTTTTAAGTTTTTACTATATGCATATAGGGAAAATCAATGACCCCCTGGGGCGGGGCCAATTTTGACCCAAGGGCTTTTATTTGAACAAACTTGATAGACACTTACTAGAAGATGTTTCATGCCAAATATCTAAGCTCTAGCTCTTTGGGTTTTTTTAGAAGAAGATGTTTAAAGTTTTTTTCTTTTGGTTGCCATGGCAACCAGAGTTCTGCATGGAATTAAAATCTTTGAACAATTTTCAAAGGTGACCACCAAAGGAACATTCCTGTGAAGTTTGGATGAAATTGGCTTAGTGGTTTATGAGGAGATGTCATTTAAAGTAAAAGTTTACGGACAGCCGGACGCCGGACGATAAGTGATCACAAAAGCTCACCCTATCTCTTTGTGACAGGTGAGCTAAAAATTAGCACTTTGTCATGTGTGACTCCAAAAGTATAACTGCTACGTTAATATGTACTAGAAATTGTAAAGATTTTTAGTGTTTTTTATGTGTGTCAGAAAAGCAGAATGTGGGGGCAGTTCAAAAAGGGAAATAATCCACTACAAATCTACGCTTATTGATGAAATAAGTCAGTGACATACTATCTGTATCACTGAAACATGCCTCAAGTTTTATGTGATATACCTTCAGTGTTTGTCATGATGTATGCAAAACTTTCACCAGAAATTTGAAAATGTGAAAAGGGTTAAAACTATAATTTAATCAAAATCCATCTGAGGCTTCATACAGTCCAGAACAGACACCTACGATTAGATCAAATATAGTGTGTAAAAGTTCAATTTCCCATGTAGTCCTAACCATAGGAAACTCCTACTTATCATTTAAGAGTAAAGTAGTAAAGTAAAACAACTTAAACAGAACAGAACAAAATTAAGCAAAGTTTTATCCAGTATTTCATTCATATAGTTTTTAACCTTTTTTCTATCAAATTCAGGCAATATCAAATACCGATATTTTCTTCACCAAAGGTTATGTATTTGTTACTACATGTATACTACTAAAATGGTGATAAAAATAAATAACATAAAACTGGTTAATATATTTATTTTAATGGCACAATTAAGTGAAAGTTTCTATACAGGTTACAACATAAAACAAACTCAATATTTTTTTCAAGTATAAGCAATTATAGAAAACTGATATCAACATTCCTTGTTTATCTTGAAAACTATAAAAAATCTTTCTTGAATATGATTTATATGAAGTTTTCTGTTTAACAGTCTCCAGCTATTTGTCTAAAAATAAACTTTTAATCTCTTCTCTTGAATTCCTGTTTGTTCAGCTTGTTCTAGATTACATTTGGATTAGTAAATAAAGTTTCCTTTTAAAAGGAAAGGCTTGCACAGTTGTGCCTTCATCCCAACCACAGGTAAACGTTGCGTGGCCATGACTTACACTATATCCCCGTTCCCCCTCTACAACCCATAACCCTAAAAAAAAAATTATGAAAAAAAAATTTATGACTAAAATATTATATTTTAGTCATAAATTTTTTTTTTTTCATAATTTTTTTTTAGGGTTTTGGGTTGTAGAGGGGGAACGGGGATATAGTGTAAGTTATGGCCACGCAACGTTTACCTGTGATCCCAACCCTTTAATTTTTTATTTTTTTTCAATTTATTATCACATTTTTTTTGAATTACGGTATTTGTATATCATAAAGGGTTTATTTAGTTTTTTTTGTAAAACGAATATTTTTTGTCAAAACGATTTGAAATCTATTCTCTATTGTATAAAACTAATAAAGAAAATGACCAATCGTGAAACGTGGATACTGAAGGGAAACAAGTGTGCACATTTCATTTCCCCTTTTTCGCAGAGAAATCATTCGTTTGCTTTACAGACAAGTAAATGCACTAAAATACTTCGTTACGTGGTACCAATTATAATAAGCATGTATCAACTTACACGATCACAAATATGATGCGCTATCTGTAGTTTAGCACGTGGCAAGGTTAATGATATGCATGGGCTATTTTTAGATTACCTCACCAAGAAGTTGAATTGCGTTCAGTAGATCTAAATATAACTCGATCATGTGTGATTTGGTAAGCAGGACCACCCTTGAAGACGGAATACTACTCTATTGTATAAAACTAATACAGACAAAAAAAACAATTATAAAAGAAACTAACTTTTGCGTCTTAAAAAACAATTGAAACGGAACAATTTCGTTTATAATTTATAACGGTTTAAACCGATAAATCGAGTAAAAATAGAAATCCTATTTATATAAACAAACTGGGATTACCGAAGTAACTAAAATAGCTTAGATTTCCGTAATATTACTTCGTCTGATTCCGCAGTATGACGGAATCGCCCGAATTGTCACGATTGCAATCGGAACTACCTCGGCTATTATCTTTAATCCGAAGAGTGACGGAAAAGGCCGAAAAGTTGCGATTGCCACGATTGGAGCTGGTTTCCAGTTCAATCATGCACCAACAGATGTAAGCATGAAACCACCTAACCGGAACAAGTTTTCCATATGAAATGGCTTGCAGCCGTGGCTGCAAGCCAAAAAAAGTGTATCAATATCAGCATGCTAAAACTAAGCAGACAACAAAGATAAGTCTGGTTACACTATAAACATGTACCTGTATGAAGAATAGACTCTTCTCTACTGGTGGCATAAAACTGCCATCAACCCTAATACATGTATCCACTTATCCCTTAACCTGCTGAATTTACATTATGATTTTACCTGGATTTGAAATTGGAACAGTCCATTCAAAGTTTAAGATTTTTTGTTATCAAAATACAAATATCAGCTTAGCTGGCAATAAAGAAATTGGTTAGACAGCATATGGATGTGCACACAGGCCCGGCTCTTTATTGGTGGCTAAGGCTAACAATTTCTGGTTCCAGCAGGTTAGGGACTCAAGACATGGTAGAGAGAAAATAAACCTTTTCAAACAGATCAAACAAATTGTAAAAGAATCAATTCTGAAAATATACAGTAATGCAGGGTCTTTCAAATAGAATCTATATGAAAAACGCGGAGTAATGTAATAAAACTGCTGTATCTGTGATGTTTAAACAATTGATAGAACAATATACAATAATGATTCTATAAAAAGAATAATTGAAGGTTGTGTACAACAGAATTACAACAGTAATTATATGCAATCATAATAAATTACTAACATGCAGGTAATTTACATCGTAATATATCTCCTCTAGGCAACCAGGATCAACTTTATCATTAAATTTTGAAAAAAAAAATATTATTAAAGAATTGTTTAAAATATTTGAACAGGTCAAACCAATTTATTTTTACCAAAAGTGACATCTTTATTTTAACAATTCAGTTAGTTTAGAAAAAAATATCCCTTCATTATTTCAAAATACAAGATGGCACCTGTAATTAAGACCTGTGTCAGAGGTCCGGTTTCAAGGTCTTCTTACCAGCTAAACTGAAGGAGACCCTTTTTGACCTACTCCATCTCCCTTCCCTCTACAAATTGGAACTTTTATCATGCCTCAGGAAGATATCACGTTGACCTTGACATTTCGACAAAGTGTATCTTTACATGTATATAAAAATGGCTGCCAAGTGAACTATACAAGCAATAACAATGTGTATACTGGAGATACATATACATAAACATATACAGTGTGACATTAAAACTACAACTAAAGCACTATTTACATGTATTATTCATACAAAAACATTTAATGATTTGCACGTAGCAAGGAAGCAAATATCAAGTACAGTCATTTTAATTCAAATACCAACAAACAGTAACATACTACATGTATTTAAATATGAAAAGTTACAATGGAGAAAAAATATAAAATGTATAAATGTTAACTTAAAACTTGAACAAACTACAAATGAAAGATAATGACTGACATTAATGCGACTTGTGAATACAATTGAACACAGGAAATTACACTCATAAGGACTTTCTTATATGTATATTGGATTCTTACATATTTATATAAATGCAAGCAAATGTATATTGGTTGCTCAAGAGTATGTCTATAATCTACATAATCAAACTAAGTAAAATTAATTCTGTACAAACTTACTTTTTTTTTCAAGGAAGGAAAAAAAAAAAAATACACACAATTTTATCTCTTACATTTTCATATCTAATCAAGATTTCTTTTTTTTTATAACTGTGGAGATTATCAGATATAAGTTATATCGAAACTGACTTCAGATACAATTAAATGAAAGTGCAATGAAAACTTAATTTTTAGTCAAAATGACTGTTTCTTTTTTAACAAAGAACAACAACTATAAAAACAGACTTGCAATATTATTTACAAAATAACACAATGCCTGTATCAAATACAGGCGTGATAATATACAAAATGCACCCTTGTTTCTTATCATAAAATCCTTCACAAATTCCTTGAAAGATAATATACAAAATGCACCCTTTAATGTTTCTTATCATAAAATCCTTCACAAATTCCTTGAAAACAGCACTACTGTTGTTCCACAACTGAAGAAATTTATTACAAGATATAAAGATATACCTAGAGAACAAAATTTAAAAATTCACTGATTAAGGTATTTTTAATAAGAAAATTCCACCGGTATGTTCATGTCAGATTAAGACATTAACTGGGTTCAAACAACCTGCAAGTGCACAAATAAATAAAGCAATGGGGGTATTCAGAGCTACATGTATTTTAGATTCAGGAGATAAATTTAATTACTGGTAACCAGATTAAAAACATTTTCGAAGGTGTGCGAACTTTTCTTCTGTGTTTTGAATAAAAGTCAAGAAAGTCTGCTTAAAGAGCCTGAATCAATTTTGCAGTAAATATTTGGTAACTTGGCAATTATTTTGATGGGGTCTTATAGAAACAGGTAGACAAAGACATTATGTTTATGCAACATTTACATGCATTGATCATTTTATTAGTAATTTGACCCATTTCTCACTAGGTTTTGCATTACAAATTCCTTCAACTTTGAATTTGGAAAAGAAAAGTGTACTGCAAGAGATCAAAATGGACTGTTCCAAACTGAAAGCGGGACATATCCAATTATCCATTACATAAATTCAGCAGGTTAAAGGTCAAAAAATCTCTGACAGTTTTTTGAAGATTTATTCTAGTATTTACAGTGGCATTTTATGTGTACAAAGGAACACCACACTAATTTATTTCTACAGTAACTAGCACAGGTATTGCTTGATACAGATGCTTATTTGCCAAAATAACTATTAAATGACAAATTGGTATGTTTTACATAGCATAACTATTAGAATGCATGTAACATCTAAACACATGTAATAATTTATATCTTACTTGAATAATTTTCTTTTCATGATTTATACATATACTGAATATTACACATATAATCAAACTTTATACTATGTTATGTGACATGTACAAAACTAAGACACAAGAATACATAATTATTATGTGTGTATAAAACATGTTTAACCTAGTCAATACAAATACAAATCTTTAATTTTATGATGAAACATGATTCAGAGTTTTACTACCAATTATTATTTATGAATAAATATCGCTTTCAAAAGTAAGGCATATTTAATAACCAATATTTCAAATATAAACCAGTGATATATAAAAAGAAATTACTGTTTCATTTTGTGGAATGCCCTCCCTTTTAAGTTTTTATCGTTTCTTTGATCTATTGAAAAAAAAAGAAATTATGATTATGCTTTCAAAGGTCAGACTATTTTCTTCCCTTTTAAAAATGTATCACTGACAAAAGCAGGCAATGCAAAAGAAAAGCCTTTTTATGAATAAACTTCAATTGTCTTTATCTTTTTTCTCAAAAATATTTGTAAATTGTAAAACATTTAAATGTAAACAAAGTAACAATACCATTCAGGTCTTTTTTCTAGGAGAGTAAAGCAAGGAATATACACATAGCACAATTAAAAGTTCTTTCATTTATACATTATACAATGTATAACAATGTATCTTTTATATTTAAAATATCAACTTCATTGAGGGTCGACTGCAAAACTGCAGTAATGTATATACAAGAGGGCCATGATGGCCCTAAAGTCGCTCACCTGTATATAGGCCCCTGGAGCAGGGCCAGTTTAAACCCCAGGGCTTTTATTTCAACAAACTTGGTAGACACCCATTTGAAGATGTTTCATGCTAAACATCTACGGTCTAGCTTGTTGGGTTTTTTTAAAGAAGATTTTTTTCAAGTTTTTTGCTTTACACATATAGTTAAAAACAATGACACACCTGGGGCAGGGCCAGTTTTGACCCCAGGGATTTTATTTGAACAATCATTGTAGACACTTACTAGACAATGTTTCATGCTTAATATCTGAACTCTAGCTATTAAGGTTTTTTCAAAGAAGATTTTTAAGTTTTTGCTATACACGTATAAGGAAAATCAATGTCCCCTGTGACGGGGCCAATTTTGACCCCAGGGCTTTTATTTAAACAAACTTTGTAGACACTCACTAGAAGATGCTTCGTGCTTAATATCTAAACTCTAGCTATTTGAGTTTTTTCAAAGAAGATTTTAAAGTTTTTGTCATACACATATAAGGAAAATGAATGACCCCCGGGGTGGGGCCAATTTTGACCCCAGGACTTTTATTTGAACAAACTTGGTAGACACTCACTAGAAGATGTTTCATGCTTAGTATCTAAACTGTAGCTATTTGTTTTTTTTTTCAAAAAAGATCTTTTAAGTTTTTGTTAAAAACATATAAGGAAAATGAATGACCCCGGGGTGGGGCCAATTTTGACCCAAGGGCTCTTATTTGAACAAACTTGGTAGACATCCATTAGAACATGCTTCATGCTAAATATCTTAGCTCTAGCTCTTGCATTCTTTAAAAGAATTTTTTTTAAGTTTTTACTATATGCATATAGGGAAAATCAATGACCCCCTGGGGCGGGGCAAATTTTGACCCCAGGGCTTTTATTTGAACAAACTTGGTAGACACTCACTAGAACATGTTTCATGCTTAATATCTAAACTCTAGCTATTTGAGTTTTTTCAAAGAAGATTTTAAAGTTTTTGTCAAACACATATAAGGAAAATCAATGACCCCCGGGCTGGGGCCAATTTTGACCCCAGGACTTATTTAAACAAACTTTGTAGACACTCACTAGAAGATGCTTCGTGCTTAATTTCTAAACTCTAGCTATTTGAGTTTTTTCAAAGAAGATTTTAAAGTTTTTGTCATACACATATAAGGAAAATGAATGACCCCCGGGGTGGGGCCAATTTTGACCCCAGGGCTTTTATTTGAACAAACTTGGTAGACACTCACTAGAAGATGGTTCATGCTTAGTATCTAAACTGTAGCTATTTGTTTTGTTTTTTTTCAAAAAAGATCTTTTAAGTTTTTGTTAAAAACATATAAGGAAAATGAATGACCCCCGGGGCGGGGCCAATTTTGACCCAAGGGCTCTTATTTGAACGAACTTGGTAGACATCCATTAGAACATGTTTCATGCTAAATATCTTAGCTCTAGCTCTTTGCATTCTTTAAAAGAAATTTTTTTAAGTTTTTACTATATGCATATAGGGAAAATCAATGACCTCCTGGGGCGGGGCGAATTTTGACCCCAGGGCTTTTATTTGAACAAACTTGGTAGGCACTCACTAGAAGATGTTTCATGCTTGATATCTAAGCTCTAGCTATTTGGTTTTTTTTCAAAGAAGATTTTTCAAGTTTTTGCTATACACATATAAGGAAAATCAATGACCCACGGGGCGGGGCCAATTTTGACCCCAGGACTTTTATTTGAACAAACTTGGTAGACACCCATTAGAACATGTTTCATGCTAAAGATCTTAGCTCTAGCTCTTTGAGTTCTTTAAAAGAAGATTTTTTAAGTTTTTACTATATGCATATAGGGAAAATCAATGACCCCCTGGGGCGGGGCCAATTTTGACCCCAGGGCTTTAATTTGAACAAACTTGGTAGACACTCATTAGAAGATGTTTCATGCTAAATATCTTAGCTCTATCTCTTTGGGTTCTTTAAAAGAAGATTTTTAAGTTTTTACTATCTGCATATAGGGAAAATCAAAGACCCCCTGGGGCGGGGCAAATTTTGACCCCAGGGATTTTATTTGATCAAACTTGGTAGACACTCACTAGAAGATGTTTCATGCTTAATATCTAAACTCTAGCTATTTGGGTTTTTTCAAAGAAGATTTTTTAAGTTTTTACTATACACATATAAGGAAAATCAATGACCCCCGGGGCAGGTCCAATTTTGACCCTAGGGCTTTTATTTGAACAAACTTTGTAGACACCCATTAGAACATGTTTCATGCCAAATATCTTAGCTCTAGCTCTTTGGGTTCTTTAAAAGAAGATTTTTTAAGTTTTTACTATATGCATATAGGGAAAATCAATGACCCCATGGGGCGGGGCGAATTTTGACCCCAGGGCTTTTATTTGAACAAACTTGGTAGACACTCACTAGAAGATGTTTCATGCTAAATATCTAAGCTCTAGCTCTTTGGGTTTTTTAGAAGAAGATATTTAAAGTTTTTTCTTTTGGTTGCCATGGCAACCAGAGTTCTGCATGGAATGGAATTCTTTGAACAACTTTGTTAAGGCTTCACACAAGGAACATCCCTGTAAAGTTTCATTAAGATCTGCCTTATGGTTTCAGAGGAGATATCGTTTTAAAAGTGTGAACAGACAACGGACGACGGACGATGTACGACAGACGACGGACGAAGAGTGATCCTAATAGCTCACCCTGAGCATATGCTCAGGTGAGCTAAAAATAAACAGGGTTCGTACAGACATCCAATGCTCACATTCAAGCACTTTTTAATCACATTTTCCCATTTATCAAACATGACTGTTTTAAAGTTTCTTAATCATCGGTTACAAATGAAACTTTAAAACAGTTACAAATGAAACTTTGAAACAGTTACAAATGAAACTTTGAAACAGTTACAAATGAAACTTTAAAACAGTAACAAATGAAACCAGTTACAAATGAAACTTTAAAACAGTTACAAATGAAACTTTAAAACAGTTACAAATGAAACTTTGAATCAGTTACAAATGAAACTTTAAAACAGTAACAAATGAAACCAGTTACAAATGAAACTTTAAAACAGTTACAAATGAAACTTTAAACCAGTTACAAATGAAACTTTAAAACAGTTACAAATGAAACTTTAAAACAGTCATAAAACATCTGGTACTTTATTCTTTCTGCTAAATAACATACATTGTACATTATGTGATATTTTAATACATGTATATATATTTTCATGTAAAGTGCAACTAAATTATTCTAGTATGACCAGCAAATTTAATCAGTGTAATTGTTCATTGAATTTGGTACTAAATTGATTGTTTTTTGGTTTTTTTTTAGTTTTGTTTTTTGTAAACTATTCAATCATTTTCAAGCATATTTGCAGTAAATTTAAGCACTTTTTATGCACTTTTCAAGGGAGTAATCAATTCAATTAAGCACTTTTTTACATTTTCAAGCACTTGTAAAGAGGCTCAAATCTAAGCACTTTTTAAGACTGTATGAACCTTGTTAAAGAAGGACTAAATGGTTCAGCAGTCAACCCTCAAAATGTACTGTAAAATCCCTTACTCAAAATGAATAAAGGAACTAATCAAATGAATAAAGAAATTATCAACAGTAATTTTCCAGATGACACAACTTTTAACAACAGCTACTTCCACACTTTGTACACATTCGTCATTATTAAAATAATAAATTTTCATGACTAGTATCTTTGCCTGGCAACCAAATCTCAATTACCAAAATCCATTTTTTAAAAATTTATTCTCTTATGTAAGTTAATATTTTTTCCTTATGTGAGTTAGTACATGTATTTAACTCCTACCTTCATTTCAATTTTTTTTTAATATCTTAAACTATTTAAATTAAAAAAGCTGATCAGTATTCTTAACCATTGACTTGCTGGACATATCCAGCTTCTATTTTTAGAATCTGTCCACATCAAATTTGGGGAATTTCAAGATGAAAATATTAAGTTGCTTGGCAAACAGTATAGTCTGGTCAGACAGATGAACAGGCTGGCCTGGCTCTATAATGGGGGCAAGTGTTAGTCACTTTTCGGTTCCAGCAGGGTGTGAGTTACGGACACTCTGATGCTGATACTGGTTTTATTTTAATTTTATTTTTTATTTCATTTTATCGCTGAAATATGAAATAAAACCAAACCCTGCTATGATATGGTGTATTTCTATAACTTGAACACACAAGGGGTTTTTATGTATTCGTACTTGCATGGACTGTGTTCACAGACTCACAGACTCTTTTATACTGTTTATTGAACGCCAATTACTTAACTTATAGGGAATAAGTATGTATTATAGTTACATATTATACCTCTCTTATTGCATGAACAGTCATAAAAGTTACATGCACACATCTGTCCTTTTTGCACAAGTCATCTAGTCTTACCTTAAAATTCCAAACTTAAAAGAATCTTGTACAAATTTGTGATACTGCATTTCACCTTTGTGATAATTCACATGCAGAAAAACTTATACAGCATCCCCATCACCATCCACATCACCATTAGCTTCCACCATTTTTACACACTGGCATTTTTCTTTCTCATTTCCACATTTTACACATTTCGTTTTTTCTTTGAAACAGAGAGAACGATATAAAATACAATTTTTGTTTAACTCACAGTTTCCATCTGAATTACCAATGCAAAAACAATTTTTCTTGCAGTACGGCACACAATAACATATTATTAACACTGATACAACTAATATTACTGCACCGGCAACTGGTAATAAAATTGTAAGTAAACCTGGACTGTTTGACACTGGTGGTTTGACTGTAGGCTTGTATTTGATAATACATTCAGGCTTTATCAAATTTCCATCAAAACAATGAAATGTATCCGGCATTTTTTTCTCATAACCGTTCTTACAGCTCCATTCTAGTGTTTTATCATGCACCAAGTAGCCATTTACAACATTTTGCAAGGACATTGTCTGCGAATCAGCCTCAACTTTACAGTGGCAATAGCAAGCCAAGTTTAAGTAATCCCATGCACCACTGATACATTCAGCCTGAGCAGGTCCTGTTTTGGTCACTGGCACATCATCCCTACAGTTAATGAAAAGGTAAGGGCCAAAAGGATTTGCATCTCTTATGCATGAGGAGCTCAAGCCTGGGTAAGGAGGGCATGTGCTTAACTCGCAGGTAGGTTTTGTGCCCCAAGTTCCATCTGCCCTACATTTTACATGTGGAGATCCTTTTATAATATAGCCTTCATCACATGTTACTTCAGTAATGCTTCCATACCCATTTCTTATAATATAACTATTATCTTGAAATGTTTCACCAAACTGAATTGATCCAAATTCGCCACACATTTTAATATTACATACTGGTGGTTCTAGTGGCAGCCAATTCCCATCAATTCGACACAGCATTTTATTGCTAGATCCCACCATGTCATAACCTTCATTGCATTCAAACTGTATTGTTGTTCCCACCCTATAAGTGGGAACATTGACTACCTTCCCATTTTCTGGTGTTTCAACATGTGAACAAAAAATCTCCTCACACCTTAGGTTTCCATCTACCCATTGTGTACCAGAACACCGGTATTCACGGCTTGTTCCAGCTGGGTTAAAACCAATCTCACAATCAAACCTGATGACAGTTCCATCTGCAAAAGGTCCACTTCCGGTTGCATTATTTTTCGTATTATCTATAGATGGTATACTGTTACAGTCTGCTCTTGCAGAAGAGATTTCTAAAATAAAGAAAAATATTTGTATATACTGAGGTCATGATCCTTAAACCTTTAAATACTTTAATAAGTGTTAAAGTAGTACAGACAATAACTTGACTATATCTTACATGTAGCTACAACTGGGCGTACAATTGTTGATAAAACGACACCTAGAAGTACAAAGTAAGAAGCTTGCATTCTATAATACTGCTTAAACTTATCATTATACAACAAAATCCAATTGTTGATTATGACCAGTTCCAAATTCATAGCAGGTCCAGTCAATTTTCAACCCTAGATTTTTTTCACAAGTCTCATTATGCAATATGAAATAGAATTGTAAATCACATGCCAACATTAAAGATCAAGACAAACTTCCACTAATAAAAATTCTACTTATTACAGTAATAGCTTTTTAAACAAGAGCCGGTTGAACCGGGTGATGCTCCCCGAATAGGTTTTGGACACAGGAAGGTATACCTCTTGTAGTGTCAGAGTTATGTCACAGACAAAGTTCAAAGTGTAAAAACAACCCAAATGTTGTGCACGACACATTGTCTCAATATGGTGATCATTTCTGTGAAAAAGTTGTAAAATCAGACTTCAAATAAGGAAGTTATGGGCTAGACACAATTTTGCTGCAAGGTCATGCTGTGACCTTGACCTTCAAGGTAGCACCCCCAAATGTTGCATGTGACACGTCGATTCAATATGGTGATCATCCCTGTGAAATAGTTGTTAAATCCGACTTCAAGGAACGAAGTTACTGGCCGAACGCAATTTTGCTGCAAGGTCATGCTGTGACCTTGACCTTCAAGATAGCAACCCAAATGTTTGCGCGCAACACATCATCTCAATATTGTGATCATTCCTGTAAAATATTTTTAAAATCTGACTTCAAATAACAAAGTTATGGGCCGGACAAGATTTTGCTGCAAGGTCATGCTGTGACCTTGACCTTCAAAGTAGCGACCCAAATGTTGGGCGCGACACGTTGTCTTAATATGATGATCATTTCTGTGAAATAGTTTTAAAATCCGACTTCAAATAACAAAGTTATGGGCTGGACATGATTTTGCTGCAAGGTCATGCTGTGACCTTGACCTTCAAAGTAGCGACCCAAATGTTGCGTGCGGCACGAAGTCTTAATATGGTGATAATTTCTGTGAAATAGTTATAAAATCTGACTTCAAATAATGAAGTTATGGGCTGGACAGGATTTTGCTGCAAGGTCATGCTGTGACCTTGACCTTCAAGGTAGCAACCCAAATGTTGGGCGCGACACGTCGGCTCAATATGGTGATCATTTCTGTGAAATAGTTTTAAAATCCGACTTCAAATAAAGAAGTTATGGACCGGACACGATTTTGATGCAAGGTCATGCTGTGACCTTGACCTTCAAGGTAGCGTCCCAAATAATGCGCGCGACACGTCGTCTCAATATGGTGATCATTTCTGTGAAATAGTTTTAAAATCCTACTTCAAATAAAGAAGTTATGGACCGGACACGATTTTGATGCAAGGTCATGCTGTGACCTTGACCTTCAAGGTAGCGACCCAAATGTTGCACGCGACACGTCGTCTCAATATGGTGATCATTTCTGTGAAATAGTTTTAAAATCCGACTTCAAATAAGTAAGTTATGGGCCGGACACGAATTGGGACGTACGGACAGACGGAAGGACGGACTGACGGACAACCCGACCACTATATGCTCCCCCGAAATTTTTCGGGGAGCATAACAAGAACCCGTTGAACCGGGTGATGCTCCCAACACCTCTTATAATTTCAGAGTTATGTCTTAGACAAAGTTCAAAGTGCAATAATTCCAAATGTAGGCAAGACAGAGTTACTGTTCTTTGCACTGCTCTTCTACCCAATGAGATCTATCTACCTACAAAGTTTCTTGTTCATATCTCTTAAAGTGTCAGAGTTATATCCCGGACAATGTTTAAAATGTAAAAATGAACAAAGGGCAATAACTCCAAAATTAGGCAAGGCAGAGTTAGGACTCTTGTACACTGCACATTTACCGAATGACATCTATCTACCTACAAAGTGTCTTGTTCATATTTATTACACTTACAGAACTATGTCCTGGACAATGTTCAAAGTGTAAAAATAAACAAAGGGCAATTAACTCCAAAATTAGGCAAGGCAAAGTTACGGTTCTTTTGCACTGTACTTCTACTCAATGAGATCTATCTACCTACAAAGTTTCTTGTTGATACCTCTTATAGTTTCAGAGTTATGTCCCGGACAAAGTTCAAAGTGTAAAAATATACAAAGGGCAATAACTCCAAAATTAGGCAAGGCAGAGTTAGGACTCTTGTACACTGCACATCTACCCAATGACATCTATCTACCTACAAAGTGTCTTGTTCATATTTAATACACTTTCAGAACTATGTCCTGGACAATGTTCAAAGTGTTAAATGAACAAAGGGCAATAACTCCAAAATAAGGCAAGGCAAAGTTATGGTTCTTTTGCACTGCACTGCACTTCTACTCAATGAGATCTATCTACCTACAAAGTTTCGTGTTGATATCTCTTAAAGTTACAGAGTTATGTCCCGGACAAAGTTCAAAGTGTAAAAATATACAAAGGGCAATAACTCCAAAATTAGGCATAACAATGTTATGGTTCTATATGTTTGTACGAATGGACGGACAAAGTGGTGACTATATGCTCACCCTTTGGAAGCATAAAAATAAAGTGGAACCATTAAACTTCTTGAATAACTTTTGGTAAGATCTTCAAAAAGAAACAAGCAAACTACCCGTAAGCAGTTTTCATCAATTTTGGTGAACTGTTTCAGATAAGATGTCATTTAAAAGCAACTGTGAACAACAGTTGGATGGAAGTCAAAATGCCATCATTTTGACTAACATCTTTTCCCACAACAACTTTTAGTTTTACAAGAGAACTTTAACCTAACAAGAACCACTGCTGGGGCAACGCTTGACTTTTTTACATTTCCTAAAAGCAAACAATTAAAATGTTTTTACAAAATTCTGGAAACAAAGTGATCCCTCGGAATCATCAATCACAACAGAATAACATTGAGCGGTACTCAATTCTCAACACTTTATAGTGTTGGCATTAATGATCCCGAAGGACCAGAAAATATAACAACACTGAAGTGAAGTACGGGGCAACTTTTTACGGCTGCCACACGGCACTTGACACCTGCTGTTGTGAAGTACAAAATTCTGGAAACAAAGAGATCCCTCGGAAGCATCAATCACAACAAAATAACATAAGAATTGCAGACTCGGTTTGATTGAGTCTCTCAAGTCTTGAAAAAGAAAACTAAAGAAAAAAATAGTTTTTCCTTTTTTTTTAAATTTTAATTATGACAACAGGTAAGATAGTCACACTTGTTGTTTTGTCAGAGTATGAATCATTTTCATAATGTTCAATGATCAATTTTACATCTGAAACTATGTATCTGTTACAAATTTCATAGCTTTTTATCAAAGGACAAGAAAGTACAATGTAGGTCACTTTGTCAAAATCTAGGTCAGTTGAGATCCAAGTTCAATTTTAAATATGAAACTGTGCACATGGTCCAAATTTCATAGCTGTATATCAAGGACAAGAAAGTACATGTAGGTCACTTTGTCAAATTATCTAGGTCAGCTGATATCAAAGTTCAATTTTACATCTAAAAATTGTGCACATGGTCTAAATTTCTTAGCTGTTCATCAAAAGACAAGAAGAAGGTCACATTCTCAAGTTACATGTATCTAGGTCAGCTGATATCAAAGTTTAATTTTACATCTGAAACTATGCATTTGGTCCAAATTTCATAGCTGTATATCAAGGACAAAAAAGTAGGTCACTTTGTCAAATTATCTAGGTCAACTGATATCAAAGTTCAATATAATATTTAAAACTGTGCACACACTCTAAAATACATAGCTGTACATCAAGAGACAATAAGTAGATCACTTTGTCAAATTATCTAGTTCAGCTTATATCAAAGTTTAATTTTACATCTAAAAGTGTGCACAAGGTCAAAATTTCATATCAACATCAAAGAAAAAAGAAAGAAGGTCCCATGGTAAAAATCTAGGTCAGCTGATATCAAAGTTCAATTCTACATCTGAAACTGTGCACATGGTCCAAATTTCGTAGTTGTTTATCAAATGACAAATAAAATTGCACTTGTGAAAAAAATGCTATGCCACCACATAAATATAATAACAGAAGTAGATTTTTTTGTTCCTATACAACTGAAATTTGCCATAATGCAGAAGTGTCCACACAATGAATTTGGGGTAAAGCTTGTATTACAACATTTCAAATGAAAGACAATGTGCAGTCATTATGTGTCTAATGTTCAGATACAAAGTATTCATAAAAAGTAAAAGTATAATTCTTACTTGATAAAAATTTTAGTATTTACTATATTACATAGATGTATTAAACTTTGAAATACAGTTACAGTTATTTTTCTTAACTACTATCTTTTCAATTAAGCATTACCTATTTCTGAAAATATAAAAATACATTCATGATTTTGAATCATGGTATGAACCATAATGTCCTTATAATGTGCTCTGATCATTTTATAAATATCCCTGCATTGAAGCGAACATCAATCGCAACTACTCGGCCCTTTCCGTCAGTCTTTGGATAAGGACCTCAAACACAATAGTATGAATACACAGAACGGATGCGGTATTTTGGTCTAACCTACGATAACTAAACACGTAAACAAAAGGTAATTTAATGCTGGGAGTTGCTGACAAGTTTATTTCCAATATATGTATTACAAGTCCACCTAAAATAAGTAAATTCATAGGTACAAAAGCAAACAATACATTATTTATATATTTATTATTATTGTTGTAGAAACCGAAAGTACAAAAAACCAACCTGTTGACATTTGGTCGGATTTGTTTAAAATTGAACATCAGTGGGCATATTTAAATTACAAATTGTTGTCAGACATATTTTCAAGCATAAGAGTACCGGAACAGACATTAGATGCCAAATATATACATTCGTTTGA